GATAGACTGGTAAACAACTGCATTCAGGATGACAGATGGACTGGTAGACAACTGGATTCAGGGTGACAGACTGGTAAACAACTGGATTCAGGATGATAGATAGACTGGTAAACAACTGGATTCAGGATGAAAGATAGAATGGTAGACAACTGGATTCAGGATGACAGATGGACTGGTAGACAACTGGATTCAGGATGATAGACAACTGGATTCAGGATGATAGACTGGTAAACAACTAGATTCAGGATGATAGATAGACTGGTAGACAACTGGATTCAGGGTGATAGACTGGTAGACAACTGGATGTAGGATGATAGACATGTAGACAACTGTCTATGCTTCTTCCTGGCATTCACCGGCTGTAAACTCGGGCAGAAAGTTCTGGTTGTAGGTTCATTTCTGGGCTTCAGTCTTGTTCCATAACTTGAGTTTTGCTTGCAAATCCATTTGACAGATTTGGCTTATTTGTAGGCCGACTACTGCTTCGTTTGCCTTTGACAAGAATTAATCGGAGTAACTGAGTAAGTGGGATGCTGATCATCATCATCAATCAGCAAGTCCTTTACAGAAAGTTGCTCTCTTCACGCACGCCTGAAAGTATCCCTTTCCCTAGCCAGCTCTCCGGCCCCATGTGCTTTCAATGCCAATGCATCTTCAATGTCTTGTATCCATCTTTGTGGTGGTCGACCCCTGCCTCGTCTTCCACCACCGTCTTTTCCAAGCCACTATGGCGCTGATCATTGCAAGCTGTAATAATGATCTTTCTATGCTGGGACTTGGGTCTCTGGCCCATGACGATTTCCTACGTCAACATTTTGGCCACTGAGCAAATTTAGTTGAACAGCCCTGGAGTGGACAAGGAAGACTAGACTATAAGACTAACATCCTACTTTCAAAGAAGGAAAAATAAAATTTGGCAAGAATTATTCACGAAACAATACACTGTAGACTAAAGACTAACATCCTATCTACAGAGGAAAAAATATAAATTGGCAAAAAATAATCATAAATCAACAGGATCTATAGAAATAACATCCTACCATAAAAAAATATAAATTGGCCAGAATTAATCAAGGAACAACAGAAACGGGTGACTATAACATCCTACCTTCAAAGGAAAAAAAATAGAATCTGGCAACAATTAATCATGAAACAAAAGACACTGAAGACTATTAAGACTAACATCTTACCTTCAGAGAAAAAAATATAATTTGGCAAAAATTAATCATGAAACATTTTAGCTTCAGCAGGAAAAAAAACCCCAAGAATTTGGCAAGAATAAATTAAGACACAACAGTAAGACCAACATCCTACCTTCAGAGAAATAAACAAAAGACAAAACAGAATTTGGTAAATAAAAACTACAAACAGCAAACTGATGAGTTTAAAATGTTTACAAAATGCCCCTTTAGTGAATTCACTCCTTAGTGTCTGCACTTTACTGACTGAACACATGCAGTTCTACCCACAATGTTTCCGTAACATAGTAAATGTCACATGTTAATAACAACATAAATGACAATCCACTTGTTGATACAATACTGCTCTGTCTCACACAGGAAATTATATGCAAAATAAATTAAACACGACTGACATGCAAAAGGCAATTAATTAGGACTTGACTAAGCCGAAGTGCTGGGCCAAAAAGTGCAGATATGGCAGCTTAGCTTTTAGCTATAGTCAACAGCAATGAACCCCCCCGACCCCCCCCCCCCCCCCCCCATTGTGAACACAAAAGAATGAAGACCTCAGACCTCAATATTTTTTAAGTTATGGCTCTTGCCGTTCACAACTTTTCTGGTCAGTATTTATTTTTGGTGGTTACAAACATGTCAGAGATTCAACTGGCCAGACAGATATATTGTCTCTTTAAGAGATACCTCTCATCAAGTGTTAGTGTTGGTGATCATGCCTCTCCACAATCTGTGATCTCCATGTATCAGTTTGTGTGTTGACACCACTCCATTGTCTGGCCTACATATTAATCGTTCAGGATTCACAGCCGTATGTTAAAACTGGCTCTATGTAGCATGCAAGAATTCTTTTCCTAATCTCCAATGACAAGGATTTATAGCATAAAACCTTCATTGTTAAAAATGCAGTTTTGGCCTGTCCTATTCTGTTCTTTATCTCTGTGATACATCTTCCATCGGATGTTATCCACATGCCCAGATATTTCAATTTCTGTACTTGTAACAAAATAATGCCGTTGACTTTTATGACACATTTAGGCACAATTCTTCTCCTGGCAATCACCATTACTTCTGTCTTCCCATTGGAGATAGCTCAGTGAAGTGATTTTGTGTCTTCTTGTTCCTATTTCTGGTATTGTGTATTCATGCAATGTGCTGATCAAGGCTTTCTAGCCACAACTCTCACTTGTTTGTGATATTGTCACGCTGAATGGTTCTAATTTTCGTTTGGTTTGATATTTTTTATGATAGTTCCAAATATAGCAAACCAAAGACCTATTCTGAAACTGACATTTTTCTTCTTTGTCCACCGACTGTGAGCTCCTGCAGAAAGTCCTGGTTGTTGTTCATTTAAACTTTGGCTGGGGTGTCAGAGCCTGAGTTTTGCGTGTGCATCCGTTTTACTGTCTTATTTGTGTGCACATGGTTTTTCTTTGCTGCTCGGGCAGATGCACTCTGACTTGGAAAGGAAGCTCCCAGTTAGTCAATTTCTATGATATGCTACTTGGGAAGACAGTGGGTCTATTCTTGTTTCCCCACAATGGGGACCTGGGACCCACGCAGGGAAAAATTTGACATAATTTTCAGGAAACGTCTGTAGCATACTACTTTTCATTCATCCGAATACTGCTGCTTTGTGTCGGTTAACAACACAGCTGTGATATTTGGGCCTTTCAGACGACACATACAACTTTATCAGGCATTAGTTCACCGGTTTGTAACATACTGTAAAGAGGAACATGCTTCTCACTACAATAAACATATGGCACATATAGGAAACTGATATGTCTGAACAAGACATACAATACATCACAAATACTAAACATGCCGCATGAAAAGACGCTACACACATTAAACATCACATATACAATGTTTTCCCTGAAAATAAGACTTACTCTCAAAATAAGACTTACCCCTTAAAAAAGCCCTAGAGTGATTTTCAGGATGCTTTATACAGAAGCCCAACCCCCAAAATAAGCTCTAGATAAGATCATCGGATGAGAGACCTGTTGACCACTTACTTAAGTAAAGGTGTGTTGCTGAGCATGAGAGATTGCGGCCACTGGTTCTACATGAAATGGCATCGCAGGGATCTGGAGCGTCATGGCGATGTTCAAGACTATGACATGAGTGATTCTGAGTAAAAGGAATGGGAGGCTTCGGCCTCCAGGGCGACGCAGGAAAGACAACACCCGACAGTCTCTAAGTGATAGAGGACTGGAATGGAACAAAGCCAGAAAGAAAGCTGGTGGCAAAACTCTACAACCCAAGGTAGAAGAGGAGCGATCAAGTAAGTAAGTATCTGAGTAAATCTAGAATTCTGAACCTGAAGAAATATCTATCAGATGACAGAGAAGTAAAAACTGTATACTAAGGGAGATGAGTGGTCATAGACTTTAAGGCAGACCAAGAAGAAGATGGAGAGATAATGTCCAGACAAACCTGCAAACACTTGGTATCACCAACAGGAAAGAGAAGACCAGAGAGATAAATGGAGGCGGGGGATAACTGCAGCAATGAACCTCAAAGGCTCGAAATGAAAAAAAAAAAAAAAAGACATCCCCCGACAATAAGCGCTAGTGCATATTTTAAGTAAAAAAAATTAATATAAGACCTGGTCTTATTTCTGAGGAAACACAATACAAACTTAGCCATTGATTATACAAAATATCAATCTAGGTTAATTATGGTGATGAGAATATCACACCATACCATTTACCTAGCCGTGGAACATCTCATGTATGCAATAATCAGCAAACATCATGTGTTTTACTTTTCTACACGACTCTCATATAAGTATCTGAAAAACTAAACAAGTTTAAAAAGGCCTTCTTCTTCTTCCGCCACTTAACTTTCTGTAAACTTTCATACTGTTATTTAAAATACTAAACAAGCCACTTAACTTTCTGTAAACTTTCATACTGTTATTTAAAATACTAAACAAGCCACTTAACTTTCTGTAAACTTTCATACTGTTATTTAAAATACTAAACAAGCCACTTAACTTTCTGTAAACTTTCATACAGTTATTTAAAATACCAAACTAGTTTACCTCATACATTTATCTTACATACTTAAAAAAAGAAAACAAATATCCGTTCTGTATAGCTCTCATACATTTATCTGAAATATCAAACATGTTTAACATCAGCAAACATCACTTATGTTTATGAGCAGACAGAGTTATGTTTGCCATAAACATCATTTATCTATCTATTCACACATATCACAAATATTTTTCTGAAATATTAAACATGAATAAAATCAGCAAACACAATACATGTTTATCTACCGGCAAACATCACATATGTTTATTTGAAACATATCTGCAAATATCATACATTTATCCATTTGTAAATATCTCACTTATTTATGTATTGACAAACGTTCCCCCTTTTAAAAAAATCTGACAACCATTAAATGTTTCATCATTTGAAATATCACATCCGTTTAACCTCAAACATATATATTCACAAATTTATCTGTAATTGCTGTAAGGTGCAATTTATCACATAAGCTAAAATTATATAATACAACATAACATCACCATTGCATAATATTGGTTAAAGAACTCACTCTCAAAAATCTCTAGCAGACTTTTCCTCATTCTTAGCTGGTCTTCTATTTGTATCCTCCCTGTCTTTTATCTTTCTCCTTATTGCCAATTAGTCTTATAAGATTCGCTTTATTGCCAGTTAGCATGAAAACATACTCCTGACTGCCAAGTTGCCTTTCATTTTATCGACTGGAACAAAAGAAATAACAGCTTGAGGTTCTCCACTGTTCATTCCCGCCACACAGGATCAACTATGTCAGCTTCTTAATCTTTTGATAGAGGGCGTCGACCACCTTGCTCATGTTGTGAATAGTCTCTAGGGCGTTTGCGTAGGTTTTGTCTGAAGGTGAATCTTCAAAAACAATGAGAACACCAGCCCCTTGATCCAGGATACCTGCACAGAAGTAGGACATCTGTTATTTGCAGCGGTATACATTAGGAAAAGAAATGTGTAAAGTCACTTATTGACCCTTCTAAGTATATTAGGTATATGCAAGACCGGTTCCAGCTGACAGGCCATGCAAGCTCTGCAATGCTAATTGATGTCTTTAGAGATGGGTATGCTGGTATTGATATCAGATATCGCACTGATGGGGGACTATTTAATCTCAGGAGGCTAAGTGCTAAAACCAAGGTCAAGTCAGAAACCATTAGCAAATTACTTTTTCAATGACTGTGCTATCTGTGCCAGCTCTGAGCCTGAACTACAACATAGTGTAACCAAATTATCCGAAGCCTGTACAATCTTTGGGCTTGACAAAACTGAAATAATGTTCCAGCTAGCCCCAGGGACAAGTCTATCTGAACCAAACATCACAGTCAAAGGCAAAGCACTAATGACAGTAGACAGATTTAAATATCTTGGTGGCTTACTGGCTCAGAAAGGTCACATTGACCTAGAGATCAATACAAGAAAATCCAAAGCCAGCAGCGCATTTGGTAGGTAGACTTTGTACAAAAGTCTGGAATAGAGCTGGCATCAGCCTGCAGAAGAAGCTCAAAGTCTACAAAGCTGTACTTCTCTATGCATGAGAAACATGGACATTTACCAGCGCCAGGCTAGGAAGCTGAACCATTTTCACATGGTATGCCTCAAAAAGTTGCTGAATGGCAAGACAGGATTCCTGACCCTGAAGTCCTTGACACAGCTGGACTGTCCAGTATTTACTTGATTCTAAAACATTCACAACTTCACTGGACAGGTTATAGTCTACATGCCTGACCACCGACTACCAATTTTTTTTTTATGGTGAGCTACTAAAAGGAAAATGCTCGCAAGGTGGACAGAAAAAACTTTTCGAGGACAGCTCAAGACCTCACTAAAAGACTTCTGTACTGATCCTAAAACCTGGGAAGTCGCTGCATGTGATCGCTCATCCTGGCGCTCCTCTCTTCATGAAGTTGCTAAAACTGCAGCAGCAATTCAGAAAAGACACCGAAGCAAATCACCAGAAAGATGTGGCTTCTATTCGCTGTCCACATTGCTCAAGAACTTTCAGTGCTAGAATTGGCCTTATCAGCCATCTGCACACTCACAAAAGCTAACCCAGACACCGCTGGTCATCATCAACATACAAGTAACTCTCCATGTGGGTGCCGAGGCCCCACTGTGCGAAAAAAAAAGAAGTCGTAAGGGTAGACTAAGTGGGAGCTTCCTTCGAAGTTGGTGTAAGTCTGCATTAAAGGCAAACAACCAGAACTTTTTGCCACGGTTTACCGCCGATAAACGTGAAGAAGATATAGGGAACAGTAGAAAAAGATACAGTGATTGTAGAAAGCGAAAAACTGAGTCTCAGTTTGAAAAATATGAAGACAGACATAATGGTAATATCACATAATGAGATCACGCCTAAATGTGCACTTAAAATTATTGGTATTAACTTAAGGGCATGTATAGAAAGTTATATATACATAGATAAGCACATGGATAACATTGGATGGAGGATGCATCACACAGATATAGAACAGAAAAAGCAAAGACTGTTTTGTACAAAATGTATATTTTATGCAATAAATCCATCCCTGGAAGTAAAAAAATATGTATATGTTAAAATTAATCTTTAACAACATTTTAAAAACAAAAAGTATGCAATTGAAAATAAAACTGGCGATGTGAAAAAAAAAAAAAAAAAAACTCCTTTCTCTAGATAAGGTTCTAATTTCTTTACAGTTAGAATTGTTACTTTACTCCAAATTCCCCCTTCACATTAGAGTTTACAGCGATCACTTCGCCACAAAGACCCCAGACACATGCAATAATGGTTTGTGAAAGTCGTTTGCAAACTCAGAAACTGTACTCACCGTGGAACTTTTTGTCCAATATCATCTGTGACAACTTCTTTTCTACAATTACCTGGAAAAAAAGAGTAAATAAATACTGAACATTCAGATGCAAATGGTCATTAAATAATGAAACCTGTGTTGATACATATCAATAATAGCCACCATTCCGTGTGTTTACAGTGAGAAAAAAAAAAAAATCAAGTGGCTCAGACATCTTGTGCAACTACTACTACTCAGCCCTTAGGAGGTAAGTGGTCTTGAGGTATAGTGTCCCCCAAGAGTGCTGGAGGTCACGGGTTCAAGCACCAGGGAAGGCTAGTATTTGTTCACGTGGACTTCTAGTAATTTCTCCTGGTCTCTGAGTAGTGAGATCGGACACTCATGAGTAAAAAATCCCTTGGCAGTTAGAAATCAAAAAGAGTAGCTTAACGGCTCTACCCAGGCAAAATTTTGAGCTAAAAATATACTCAAAATTTTTCAGGATCCTCGCTGGTGCAATGGAGCTTATGCACTGCGCTGAGATACTTCATAGTCAGGCTTGAGTTTGAAGTAGAACGGAGCACTTATGGGTTATACCCATGTACCATGTTGTTGATCTATTGAATAAACTACTAACTACTACCACTACTACTAACTACTACCATTAAATACTAACTACTACCACTAACTTACTAACTACTACTACTAACTAACTTAACTACTACTACTAACTAATCAACTAACTACTACTTCTTCTCCTCCTGTTTTCTGCTTCTTATTCATGTTACCAGCTGTAAACTCTAAAGTATTCTGTCATTCCAATTTTATTTACAGCATTCTATCATTTTTTTAAAACCTTTTCTCTCCATCTCCAGCCTATAAGTTTCAATGCAAGAATATTCCCAGTGTATTGTTAGTGGAGTTTTTTAGTGGAGTTTTTCTTTTTCTTTGTCCGGTTCTATGCAACATTTTAACTCACCTCCTGATTCACTGCTATTTTTTTTTTTAGTTCTTACCTAAGCTCTGTATTAGTGGTTCTGTTATACAATACTCCCTATTCTTTGTTTCACTACCCTAAGATTAGGAGGTGAAGTAAACAAATCCCCGTGTGGGTTTCGCGGCCCCATTGTGGGGAAACAAGAAAAGACCCACTACCTTCACTAACAAGCATGTCGTAGGAGTCAACAAACTGTGGGCATCCTTTGAAATCAGAGTACATCTGCCTGAGAGACAAGGAACCAAGAGTCTGCATACAGATAAGCCAGATCTGTGAAACGGATGTGCATGCAACACTCAGTTCTAGAACAAGACTACAGTCCGGAAGTTGACAGATGCCTCCCCGTGTGAGTTCTGGTGGTGGTTGTGATGAGGGGCAGGTATAACAGACTCACGACTCCTAACAAGCCTGTAGATACTTTAGTCAAATTTTCAAAATGCAATAAACACCAATAAAACCAGCACAGTTAGATAGCTGTAAACAATCTCTTTCCAATGGTACCTCATTTAGGCTTGTATGTCATTTCTGAGCTGAGATATGTAGGTTTTTGTGGAGATGAGATGTAAAAAACAGCTGTTGAAAACTTGCGTCTCAGAAACAAGAAGTTTTCTCTGTGCAACAAAACTGCGCACTTATCGTTTTGGCTTTGTTTGCATTGGACAAGATGGCAGACAATGAGACACAGCCACATAATAGCGATTGCCTGAAAAATGTCACTGTAAATCTAAAAAGCCACTGATAAAAAAGAAATTTTATATACAAATGTAAAATTGGATGGAGAATTCAATTATAACCAGCATTACCAGTACGAGTAATGTTAAAGCCTAAAGCCAACCTTCAATTCATACTTACCGCTATTTTCACAGCCATGATAATAGCGGAATAATAGCGATTGCCTAAAAAATGTCACTGTAAATCTAAAAAGCCACTGATAAGAAAGAAATTTTATTTACAAATGTAAAATTGGACGGAGAATTCAATTATAACTAGCATTACCAGTACGAGTAATGTTAAAGCCTAAAGCCAACCTTGAATACTTATCGCTATTTTTTATAAAACTGATATAACAGAAAAACAGAGGACGTCCGGCTGTCGTAGACATGCGCTGTTAATCGGGTTCGTTCCCGTCATTTTCAGCTATTTATAGCTGGTGAAAATCACACCAATCGCAAAATTTCATGAGATTAGGACCCATTCCGAAACCAGCCGACATTTCCCAAACAAGTTTCGAACCGTTTCCATGGTAATGGAAATTGCCAAAAGACTGCAAATTGCCGAACACCGTAGTTGCTAAAGCCTTCCGTAGAAGGTGACAAATTAAAGAGTTTTTTCCTAAGAGGTGAGGAGCCCCTAGTGCACATACAAACAAGCCAGATCTGTAAAATGGATGTGCTTGCAAAACTCATGCCTGGAACAAGACTAAAATTTAAAAAAAAAAAACTGGAAGAAAAACCATAACTTTTGGTCGGAGCTTACAGCTGGTGAACGCTAGAAAGAAGAACTGTGGCCCTCACCCAGTGCTAATACCCGAAGAACATCAACTAGATCTTTATCAGATACATGCAACGCATAAAAAGTGCAACAGCTTTAACCCACAACTATTCAGGTTCAAACCTCATATAGAGCAGTCAGACGGATTACCAAAACAATACTCACAACTGGCTGTTTGATGATGTCAGCGACATGCTGGATCTGGACCTTGGAGAAGGGTTCAATGATTCGGCACAGATTCTGCTCCAAGAGGTTATCATACAGGGTCTTGAGGTGAGCTTCCACAATAGGGTCATCTTCCAGCTGAGTTCTGTATGATGTCAGTGTCTGAAATTAAAAACATGATTAAGGTGATCAGCAAATAACATTAGATGCATAGAGACAGAATACATTTCAAGTAATATACTGGGTTAGAATGTAGAATTGTATAGAAATTATTTACTGCCTGAAATTCTACTAAAGATCTATTATGAACAGAAAAACAACTTACTACCTGAAATTCTATTTAAGATCTATTGTGAATGGAAAAACAACTTACTGACTGAAATACTGCTAAACATCTAATGTGAATGAAAAAAAAAAAACTTACTGTCTGAAATTCTGCTAAAGATCTATTTTGAATAAAAAAACAACTTACTGTCTGAAATTCTGCTAAAGATCTATTGTGACTGGCTCGTGCAATGCTCTTGATGGCCTCCACTTCAGGCCCGCTGTACTTGAGGGCTAACTTGCCACTGACAATTGCTTGCACTTCATCTGGACTGATTTATGAAACGATAAAGTATGATAAAAATTATGCTCTGTCTCTGCAATGAATTAACCGTTGTTATCTTTGGGAATATGAACATAATTTTTCTCCATAATTTAGTCAACTTCTGTTTACAGCCATTACACAATGTCTTCTGCTAGAGGGTCACCAACATCGTGGAGAAATCATGGCAACGGAATCCCAGCATGGTGCTAGGAATTTTCACTGGAACTACTGGTGTCAAATGATATCATATGTTCTCTTGTCAATAGCTTTCATAAAAAGCTACTGGCCTCCTGGTATATGTCATTCTGACAGATGGATCAGAGGAGAAGATATCTACCCCTGGTTACTTGGGTAGTGTGGTCAGCTACATAGCCTTTTCAGATAAGTGCGAAAAAAAAAATGAAATTAATAAAAGGGGTCCAGTGTGCAAGTTAAGCATCTCAGAGGAGCTGGGGAACAGCTTTCCGATTACTTAAGACGCCAATATATCAGGATTGTGAAACTGCATTTATAACCCCTAAGCCATATACACTGACTAACACACCACTATCTGATCAGAAAAGCTACAAACAATAAAATGGTGCCCCAATTGATGATGTCACCACCACTACTACTACTGAACAAGTAGTCTAGTCTGAAAGATAACCTTGAAGAGAAATTTCTTTCTTCTGCTCTTCATCCCCAACTGTAGCACAGGCCTTCAACCAACTCCTGCCAAATCATACTATCCCTTGCTATTGCATGCGTGTGGTTTAGGCTGTGATATCTGTGCCTTCCGGTCCAACACATCCGATTTCATAAAACCCATAGTGGCCTTGTATGACATGCTTTGGGGTGATATATTCTTTCTTCCCCCAAAATGGGGCCCGGAACCCACACAGGGATGCTGGGATTGAACCTACCCACACAGGGATGCTGGGATTGAACCTACCCACACAGGGATGCTGGGATTGAACCTACCCACACAGGGATGCTGGGATTGAACCTACCCACACAGGGATGCTGGGATTGAACCTACCCACACAGGGATGCTGGGATTGAACCTACCCACACAGGGATGCTGGGACTGAACCTGCCCACACAGGGATGCTGGGATTGAACCTACCCACACAGGGATGCTGGGACTGAACCTGCCCACACAGGGATGCTGGGATTGAACCTACCCACACAGGGATGCTGGGATTGAACCTACCCACACAGGGATGCTGGGATTGAACCTACCCACACAGGGATGCTGGGATTGAACCTACCCACACAGGGATGCTGGGATTGAACCTACCCACACAGGGATGCTGGGATTGAACCTACCCACACAGGGATGCTGGGATTGAACCTACCCACACAGGGATGCTGGGACTGAACCTACCCACACAGGGATGCTGGGACTGAACCTGCCCACACAGGGATGCTGGGATTGAACCTACCCACACAGGGATGCTGGGACTGAACCTACCCACACAGGGATGCTGGGATTGAACCTGCCCACACAGGGATGCTGGGATTGAACCTACCCACACAGGGATGCTGGGACTGAACCTACCCACACAGGGATGCTGGGACTGAACCTGCCCACACAGGGATGCTGGGACTGAACCTGAACCACTGTCAGACCCACTGACTCCCTATCGAGCATGTCATAAAAGGTGACCAATTAAGGATTTTGCCACCAAACTCACAGCACATCTGCCTGACATGTGAGGAACCAACAGTCTGCATACAAACAAGCAGACCTGTAAAACAGATATGCATGAAAAAATGTAAGTTCTAGAACAAGACCAAAGTCCAGAAATGGACAAAACAGCCAGAATTTTTAGCTGCAGTTTACAGCCAGTGAATGTCAGGAAGATAAAAATATAGAAAAAGCTTATTCAAAAGTCACATTTAGCCAAATTTCAGGATATCGAGGCCAAAGGTTGCTAACCTTAGAGTGGTCACCACACGGCATGTTAAAACAAATACAGTTAAAGGAATGAAATAAATATGAAACATGAAATGACCCAACAAAAATATGTACACTGAAGGATCAGTTCACTTATAATTGCATTTCTCTGTAGAACAATGGCCTTCAACCTAGTAAAGAAGTTTCAAATGGGGCGTCAGGCAATTCTGAAATTGACTGCCTCTGTACTTGTAATTATCAGGATTTTCAGCTTTAACAGTCAGGAAGACAAAACAGTGCTGCCAGCTTGATATGGAGAGTGATCTCTGTGGTGCCTTGTACAACAACAGTGTTAACCATCATATTGCTATTTGGAACCTACCCATTTTTGTTGATTTCTTTTTTTTAAACACTTATCTGATACTCTGATTTATGTAGTTTATTTTCTCAAGTGCTTGGCAGTTTTTCTTTTAAAAAAAATAACACTTTGTTATGTTGGGGGAAAAGGGGGGAGCCGCTTCCGTGGCTTAGGCCATGCAAGTCCGACTTGTAATTCCAGTATACCCTGATCGAAACCAACAGCTTGGTGCGTGGATTTTTATCATGGGGCGTCGCAGGTCGACCCAGCCTAAAATGGGTACTAGGATATATGTCCCTGGTGGCGTAAATATGGCTAGCGTAATTCTGACCACATTACCCCACCTAGTGCCCACTGGTCTGTAAAAATATGGGTGCTTTTCCCTTATGCCCGATGCGCCTAAAGGCATGAAAAGGGATGTTTACTTATGTTGGGGGGAGGGAGGGCCAGGCCATATACTCAAGGGGGATGCACCTGAAAAAGGCTGGAGACCATTGATATATACCATAGGATCAATTCAATAATAAACTATTTCTCTTAAGAATAATAAGTGTATACTTACAGGTTGAGCATAATTTTACATAGCAACATATACTTGAGTGCAATCACTGCTCTTGGACTGTCAATGGAATCATATCCTTCAAAAGCTTCATAAAAATATGAGAAAGCTGTTTTGAAGTCCCTCTCATCGGCAGCATGAAGGATTCCTAAAATTAACAGCATACATTTGCTACAAACAAGTTACATACATTATGAAGGTTTATTTCTGTAGTTTCTTACACATACAGTCTGACTACATTGAACAAGGCCCTTGCAAATGGTACTGAAGAGTAAGAATTGACCATGGACTGCTAGGCCTTCATAATTTGGTAAAGCTAAGGACCCTTTTTTTTATACCACTGGTGTATCGAGAATATGGTACTAGGCACTTATGTTTAAAGTGATAGCACAAATAGGGGTTAGAGATGTTTTTCATGTAATTTAATTAAATTGAGTTTTTTCTTATTCTTCTTTACGATTACTGGCTGTAAACTCCAGAAAGTTCTGGTTGTTCGCCAATCTCTGGAGTTTGATCTTTTTCTCCACAACTTAAATTTTGCATGCACATTCATTCATTTTATAGATCTGACTTATTTCTATGCAGACAGCTGGTTCCTCATCTTTCAGGCACATGTACTTCGACTGAAAAGGAAAAAACCCTATTTGTTGCCATTTATATCACTTTTGGGAGAGAGTGGGTCTATTAACCCCCCCCCCCCCCTCCCCCCAAATGAGGCATTGGAAGCCACAAAGAGAATGTATTATTTAACTTGGTTTTTTTCTCTCAAAGACCTTCCTATTTATTTTGTTTCATAACAGAGCCCTTCATGTTCATATTTTTTGACTAAGTATTTTTTAGGTAATGATCTTGGTTGTTTACAACCTCTTTGTCTCGACTGTTGAATTTTTCAGTCTGTGTTGTATTTAGTACTCCAATGATAAAAACTTCGGTCAAAACGTCCGCTTGTATTTGTGTGTCTCTTTTCCATTCCATTCAACAAACTTTCTAATCATATTTTATGCTGTACTAGGGATGAACTACCAGAACTGTCCGCCGGAGTTTACAGCCAGTGATTGCAAAGAAGAAGAAAACTTTCAAAAGTTTCCACCAAGAAATGGGAAACCAGTTAGTCCACCTCAAATATGATATAAAACATGTGATGGCCTAAACTCCTCAACACTCTAATTGCAGTTCAGGGTGCAAAACTACCTTTACCACTTTACTTATTTTGTAAGGCTGGATTGATCTTAACTTTTTCCTGCCCTAAACAACACATCATGCATGGTTTGGTATGATTGAAATGAACCACTCAAGTGCTATGTATGTTTTTACATCTTATATTTATCAAGGGGCTCGAAGACCTCGAAAACGTATTTGTTTCCTGCAAAGGTTGTTAAGTTGGGCTCTCTAGAGAAGGACATCCGTGAGTTTAATATTGCCATTTTTAACTCCCTCTGGCATTAGCTAGGACCCTGTGGAACTAAAAGAGTAGAAAAATTAAACCTGCCATTGCCAGGGATACTGAAATCAGATCATTGTCTAGGTAAGCATGTTAGATTATGTCGCAGTTCCAATCTCATGGTGAATGGGCCCCTCCATAACTGCTCTATTTCCGTGCCAGAAAACAAAACAAAAAGACAGAATGCCTATCACTGTCCCTGTCACCGGGCGTGTGTGTGTGTTAGGGCCAGTTGTTCCATGTTTTTGGAGCGTTAAAAGCACTGCGTGCTGAAAAATACAATACACGATATCAACGGCATCACAGAACACCCCCGTAACCTTGTGCCAATGTGACAGGTTCAGAAACTACTAATCAGAAGTGACCTAGTATGTTTATGGGCGGGGGGAGATTAAGGTTACGTGTACTACATTCTATTTGAAAATAAGGTGCACCTCATTTTTCCAGGCCGAGGCTCCGCCCACTTACACACTAGGTCACTTTTCATTCATGAGCCTGACCAAGCACCAATCAAAAGTGACCTAGAGTGTAAATGGGCAGAGCCTGGGCCCAAGTTTGTGAGCTGTTCCAAAAATAATTTTGTCCAACTGTAATTAACTGTTATAATCATTTAAATAAGTCATACCAGATTGCAGGTCTAAAGCAGCCTGCAGTTTTGGAGGACAATAAATACCATTGGCTGTGGTTCGACCTGATGTAAGGGCTGCCCTGTAAGATTGAAAAACAAAATACTACAATTATACAAATGTAGAAAAGCAGTGGGAAAATAGACAAATTAATTGCTAAAAAAAACTACAGCGTCTAAGAAAAAGTTGAAAAAAAATGGGGTGGAAATGGATAGTCATCAACATCATGTGCCCTGCCAACTGACATAGGCGCCCATGCGTCTCCACAGATCATGATCCCTGTTTGCCAGGAACAGCTCTCTTGATGATATCCCTCCATGACATCGTTTTAGCCCATCCAGCATCATCTCTCTTGGTCTGCCTATACCCCCTTTTCCACTGATCCTTCCAGTTGTCACGATGTTCTCCAATGTCTCTCTTCTCATTAGGTGGCCAAAGAACAGTGTTTGTCTCTCTCTTATAGTAACAATACTAAAAAAAAATATTAACAAAAATAAGAAAGCTATTCAGTCTTGGTGATTTTCCACTTCAGAGATGCTTGCTGTGTACCATTCACTTTAATTCAATGTATGTTTTTTATAACTACGTGCATGCCTGTTTTAGAAATGTTATCTTTGGTCTAACCCATTATCTTTACCCTCCAACTATGCCATCAAATTCTGTCTAACGTTTATTATACTTTAGAGTGTGGCAAAGCGTATTTAAAAAAAAAAAACCAACAAGAAAACACAAAACACAGATTATGAAGTGTGTCAAGCGTATTTAAAAAAAAAAAAAACAAGAAAACACAAAACACAGATTATGTGTGTCTGTCCCTGTGTGGGTTCCACTGCCCCATTTTGAGGCCGAAAAGATTACACCCACTGCCCTTCAACAAGCATAAAGCTAGGAACCAAAACACAGTCTGCACACAAATGAGCCAGATCTGTAAAACAGATGTGCACCCAAAAACTCAGGTTGTGGAACAAAACTAAAGTCTAGAAGGGGACGAACAACCAGAAATTTCTGCTGGAGTTAACTCTTTGAGTCCCAGGAAACGCATCATACGTTCATAGGTTCCTACCTTGAGGCCCAATGAACGCATGATGCGCTGATTGTATGTCTTTCTTCACTACCCCATGGGCCTGTGATGCCAAATCACCTGGGACTCAAAGAGTTAACAGCCCATGAACATTAAGAGGGAGAAGAGGAGATTCCTGTGTGGGTTCTGGGGCTAAAAAGGAAAGGGGGGAGGGGGGGGGGCACACACATTGCTCCTTAACAAGCTATTTATTAAAGACAACTAATTAGGATTTCATGAAATCTGATGTGCTGGACAAAAACCTAGATATCACAGCCTAGCTGTAAAGCACAACATAATGCGCTAACCACCCTCTCAACAGTAAACACAGAAGCAGAAGAAGAAACACACAGCCACCTGGCTTTTGGCAAGTTGCTCAGTGCATGATAAACCTTGCTCTCCAACAGCTGTACCTCCACAAGCAAAGCCTTGTCGTCTAACTTTTTCAGTTCTCTCAACAGGGAAGAACCTGGGTCAGCGAGAAATACATCATTTAATGAAAGAACAGCCTGTATTTGAAACTATATTTAGGGAATCAAACACACATTAAAAAAAGTCATCTGGTAGGAGTCAAACACAATATTGAGCATTCATCATCATCCCATAACACTACGTGTCGTTGAGTCACCAGTTTCTGTTGACTGTCCGATCAGCTCTCTCCACTAATACTGAGCATTACTACAAACATAATCAGGAATGGCTCTCAAATCAGTGTGTCCTGTTCTTCTTCTTCTTCTTTCGTTCGCCTGAAATAAGTTATCTATATCAGCAGTTTTGTCTCTTGTATAAATTTCACTGTCGTTGTTAGTTCATTCAGTGGTCCATAGAGTTTACGTTCCACTGTTGTTCTTTCTGGCCAAAAGGTTTGCCTTAATGTGTCAAATTCGGTGCAGTCCTGGAGTACATGCTCTGCGGTCTGGGGCACATTTCCACAGGTGCACATGGCTGATACACCTATCTTGAATTTTGTGTACATGTGGTTACGTAATCGGTTGTGCCCTGTTCTGAGGCGGAAGATAATGACTTGTTCTGGTCTGTCCATAATAAATTGTCGTCTTGTGCTGGGGCTGGTGGTTTCCTGATCGATTTAATGATTCTTTTCTTTTGGTGGTATGTGACTGGTACATCTGGCTGCTCTTTTTTCGCACCTTCCCCTGCCAGTTGATCAGCTTTCTCATTTCCAGGCACTCCACAATGAGACGGTATCCACTGCATTACGACTCTTCGCTGAACGCTGAGTTGTGTCAGCAGTGTTTGCAATTCTGGTAGTTTCCTAGACTGGAGTGCTTCAAGTACTGATTTAGCATCTGTAAGCATTACCACATACTGTGAGCCAAGGTTGTTGGTATTTAGCAGTTTCTCTGTAGCTATCTTAATAGCCTGGGTTTCTGCATCGTAGTTATGGCAGTACTTCCCGGTTGGTACGCTGGACTTATCCCTAGTACCATCTGGGAATTCGATGTACACTCCAGCACCACCATTTCTAACTGCACTTTCTGCGGACCCATCTGTATAGACTCTGACCCATTGTTCTTGTGGGTATTCTTCATCAATATAACTGAGGGTGGCCATTTTGCGTTGTACACTATCTTGCTCTTTCTTGTCAAATATCCCTTTCACATTTGTCTGGATTTGTACCGTTAGTTTACATTTTTTCTCTCCATGGGGTTTGTTCCGGAATACTTTTTAGTGGGGCAGCCAATTTCTGGAAGGTCAGGAGTTTGTCTACATATTCTTTTTTGCTTGGTGTATAAAGCTGCTTCTTTTTAAACCGTCCCAAGGCTAGGTTCATAAATCTATTTTCCATCGGGTGATCTGGCATACTGAGGAACTTTTCAGCTTATATTTTCAGCTTTGTATCTCTGCGTTTTCTCAGTGCCTGTGTTTTCCCAGCTTTCTCTATTTCTAATATGGGGGTTGATTTCAGCCCTCATGTGATGACTCTGAGCGCTTGATTATGCACTTTGTCCAACTTCTTTAATGTGGTACTAGATGCTGAACACCATGCAGTTGACCCATACTCCAGGTGTGGAAGTATACTCTGCTTGTATACTTTATTGAGTATTTTCCTATCGGCTCCCCATGTGGTTCCACTTAGTTTTCTTAGTATTGCTGTCTTTCTCCTGGCTTTGGTTGCTGCCTTGTTGATATGTTTGCTCTATGGCAACCTGTCATCAAATGTTACTCCTAGGTACGTGGGCTCTTTATCATCACTTAAGGGTATTCAGTTTAATTTGATGATGCCCGCTTTTTGCTTTGGGGAGAGGGTAAAGAGTGTTGTGCTACATTTGTCTATGTGATGCTGACATACCATCTATTGACCCATGCCACAAGTGCATTTGTAGCCAGCTGTAGTGTTCTTGTGGCTATTGTTGCATGTTCATTGGTGCACCACAGTACCAGGTCATCGGCATACATTGCCATTTTGATTCCATTTGGTATCTCAGCAACCAGATTGTTGATGAATAAGAGGAAAAGTGTGGGCGACAGGACACCACCTTGAGGGACGCCTTGTCGCAGTAGAACTTTTTTACTTTTAAAACCATCTACCTGTACCCGGGCTCTTCTGTTATGTAGATATGCTTTAATCCAATTGTACATTTTTCCATTTATTTTATAGTTTCTCAATTTCTTCAAAAGCCCCTCCTTCCAAACCTTATCAAAAGCTTTCCTTAAATCTATCCATGCCGCGAGTACCAGTTTCTTATCTTGAAAAGCATCCTCTATTTCTTGGGAGAGGTATGTTGTCTGGTCTTCCGTAGAATAGAACTTTCTAAAGCCCGCCTGCTGTGGTGTAATGATGTTTTCACTTTCAATGTACCACTGTAGTCTGAGGTTGGTGATGCGCTCCATTGTTTTACAGAGACAACTTGTGAGGCTGATTGGTCTGTAGTTGGAGGCATTAGAACTGTCTTTCCCAGGCTTTATGAGGGGTATCATAATTGCCTCTCTCCAGATCTGTGGAACATTCCCTGTTGCCCAGCAAGCATTAAATATCTGTAAAAGCTTTGTTTTGGCTACTTTTCCTAAGTTTCTGATCATTTCGTTTGATATACCATCTGCTCCTGGTGACTTCCGCATTTTCAGCTTTGAAATGGCCAACTCCAGTTCATTAAGTGTAATTGGCACCTCTAGCGCCTCTGATGTTATTTCTTTCTGACTTCTAAATTGTGTCTTTTCTTGAATTTCGTGTTTTTTCTCTGAACTGATTTCAATGTTGTTATCTAAAGCAAAAGTGTCCGCAAATAGGTTGGCTGCCTCTTTTCCTGTGACCATGTTTCCATCTTTCTGCAGCGTGATCTTTGAGTTCCACCCTGTGTCTTCACCATTAATTTTGTTTCACAAGCTTCCATAACTTTCTTGTGTCTTTTTCAAAGTTCAGCGACCTTGTTTTCTCCTGCCAGCTTTCCCTTCTAACCTGCAGCTTTGCCCTTACAAATTTTGCTTTTGCATGCTGGTAGTTATTGTGATGTTCTTGGTTTGGCCTGGTCTCTGCTATCTTTCTGGATGTTTCTACTTCGTTATGTAAATTTTCTAGCTCATTACTCCAGTATGGCTTATAATGCTTACGGGCACCTCTTGGTATTGATTCTCCTGCTGCCTTTAGTACGCATTTGTTAAATTCTTTAACTACTTTGTTTATATCCTGGTCTATGTGTGTCCTGTTCATCTTCATCTTCTTTTGTTGTCTCACTGAGACCAGGTTACAGCCAAGTGCCATGGTTTTCTGTATCTGTCTTGCGCTTCTCGGGTGGCTTGGCTGATGGATTTGTTCGTCTTTTTGTAGGTTTCTGCTTCACCATCCATTTATCCACGTCTTTCTTGGTCTTCCTCTTATTCTCCTCCTAGATGTTCTACTGTAAAAAGTCCCATAGGCAATTTGGTCTGGCAGCATTCTCACTGGATGGTTGAAGCATTTTACTCTTTGTCTGTCATTATAATTCAGATATGGTCTTATTCCAACTTCCTCTCTACTGCTGGTATTTGAACTGTCTCTTCTTGTGTTAGTGTCCTTGCGGAAACAGCACATTTGACATGTAGTTATTTTCGGTTCTAACGCCCTATTCATTGTCTATGTTTGGCATTGATGACATAAAGTAGGGATAAAGATGCTATTAATCTTCTGCTGTTTTGCTGGAAGGGAGATATTTGGGTGTCCTGTTCATCGAGTATTGGAAACTGGCTAAATTAAACATAAGTTTCATTGTGTTTACTACACCATGTGTAAAAAGTTAGTTGTGTGTCCTTTACAGAGTACTGCAGAACTTACCGACTCATTTGTTGTTGTTGCCATGTGATTTTACAAAACAGTGTTACGTTTAATAGTTTGCCACAGCTTTCTAAATGAAATACCACTCTCAATACCACAGTTGAAACCAACACAAGGCGGTCTGCTGAAAAGTCAACTGCAGTTGGGATTCAAGCCAGCACCTCAGTATTATGAAGCACATTCACAAGTTCTAAGCCACAAATGCCAACACTATGTGTAAATATAATTAAAGTCACATATATCTAAATGTAGCAGAGTCACTGCCTCACTAACAGACTTACCTAACTGTAACGCCTCCTGGTACCGTTTGGTATCAAAGTAAAGTGATATCAGCCTAGCCTGAAATAATAGAAACGATTCACTGACTTTTATACATATTACATTTATATCAATTAGCTTGTGTCTTGTGTAGATCAGGACTTTTCGACTTGCAGCCCCTGGGCCAAATCTGTACAGCAGAGATCTAGCAAGTGGTCCCAGATTATTGCCAGATGTATTGTGTTATTGATCTTTCTATGGGGCTCAGACCTCTAGCCTGTGATGATCCCTAATTTCAAAATTTTGGCCCCTAAATAAAATTTGTTGAGTAGCCCTAAAGTAGATAGTCAGGAAACTATTATTTTAGTGTTTACAAAGCTCTGTGGTTGTTCCTATGTGTCTGTGTGTATGTATGCGGGTGTATGTGTTTTTGTGGGTGTGTGTGTGTGTGTGCAGGGTGAGTGTATGTGCATGCATTTTACTACTGATGCTTTTGTGTTTTTTCTTGATATTCATAATATGCATAATATTATTAGAACATAACATGCTTTATTGATAAAATACAACTTCTGTGTGAAATATGGGTGTTTGAAAGGGCCAAATGTAAGACGGGCCTGCGTGCCCAATTTGTGACCCTTTGAAAATAGTTGGTTCGTTCGTTCCATTAATAATGGCTAAATTAAACAAAGTGTCATCTTGTTACATTGTTCAACTGTAATATTAACTATGTGTAAGTAAGCTAAGTAGACATCTGTGGTGTTAGAAAGTTGTAGTGTAATGAACCATTTTCTCATCGATAAATTATGTCCCAGACGGAATGACGTCAGCTAATAATTATGAATGAGATATTTACATGTAAGAAGGGCAGAGTCGTGAATCACAGAGAAAATGCTGGCCAAATGAAACCTGTGCGAATCACGGAGAAAATGTTGGCCAAATGGAACCCGTGTAAATCTGAGAACACGGAGAAGTCGTAATTGTAATGTGGGGTTGGAAGGTTATATAATGCCTTAGAAAGAGCATGTTGGCAGTCTCATTTAGGCCTAAGAAATGAATACATGAAGTATGGAGGAGTGTCTGTTGGATCCAGAAAGTGTTTGAGTCTGATGTGTCTGCAGAGTTTATCCCAACGCCTACTTGGCCAAACAGCAACGACTGACGGAACACTGCAGCCAGCTGATTGTGTGTGTTTTGCTCGGATGGAAAATAGTCATTATCTTTCAATTGCTGTTGTGATAGAAATGTTTCATTTCAACGTATAGTTGACATTTTTGGTGAGTTAGGATAGATATGAGTGACTGTGTTGTATCCTAACATGTACTGGCTGAAGAAACAGCGAGTGAACAAATAAAGAGTGACACCACATTGTATCGTTCACCGTCGTCCATGTTTACTCCATGTCGGCGCACGTTGAGGAGCGTGCAGTGACTGCAGCCAATGATAATAAGAACAGAGTCATTGCAGGAAGAAAGGGCCTCAGTTTGAATGATGGGAAGACAGAAGTAATGGTGGTATTAAAAAAAAAAGAATTATTCCTAAATGTGTAATAAAAGTCAATGGTGTTATTTTATGGCAAGTACAGAAATTTAAGTATCTGGGCACATGGATAACCTCAGATGGAAGATGCATAACTGAGATAAAAAACATAATAGGACAGGCAAAAACTGCATTTTATAAAATGAAGAATATCTTGTGCAATATATCCTTGTCATTAAGAGTTAGAAAAAGAATTCTTGCTGGCTACATTCATCCAGTTTCAACATATGGCTGTGAATCCTGAACAATCAGCAGGCCAAACAATTTCTTGAGGCCTCAGAGATGTGGTTTTACAGAAGAATGCTTAGAATACTTTGGACAGCCAAAAAGAGCAACCAAGAGGTTTTGAAAGAGGCGGGAGCCCGAGAGACAACTTATCACAGACATCAGAAGGAGAACGTCATCATTTTTCGGCCATGTTATGAGAAGAGGGAAAATTGAACATGTTGTGGAACACTGGAAAGATCAGTGGAAGGAGGGATAGAGGAAGACAACAAGAGAAGATTCCTGACAGTCTTGTTGCATGGCATGGAGGTGTGTTGGCACACGAACTGATACATGCTGCAGGAGATTGTGGATTATGGAGAGGCATGATCGCCCATGCCAGTCGGCAAGGTACCTGATGATGATGATGATGATGAAGTAAGTGTAATTAAAATGTCACATGTACACTGTATATTAGGGATGCCTGCAAGGTGAGGTGATTAAGTTATGTGTCTCATGCTCCAAGGGCTGGGGTTCATTTCATGGCAGTCGGACAGCAGTTCTGTGAAGAGACCGAACCATATGGGATAAAACCAGGTGCCATGAGGTCGATCCTTTGGGCTTTACCTTTCCAATAATAAGATCAAACTCAGCCAATAGGATAGCAGGTTACTTTGCAACCACAGAGTGCTCCAATATAACTGTTCTACACAGGTGACCACTTGTACAGTCTGAGATACCCCCCTTACTAGACATGCATCCAAAAAATGGCTCTTTGAGTCACTGAGTGTAAATCTTTTTGGCTGCAATGCCCAAGAAAAAAAATTATCCTTGTCACAGTACCTTCAACACTGTTAGAAAATTACTTCACCCGCTGTAAACATTGACAGAAAGTTTCCGTTGTTCGCCCAAGAGTTTAGATTTATTTGTTCCAGAACCTGAATTTTGCATGCACATCCGTTTTACAGATCTGGTCTACTTGTATGCAGATTGTTGCTTCCTTGCCTCTCAGACAGATATGCTCCGATTTTGAAGAAAAAATTTGCCGCCTTCTCTGACATGCTTGTGACCATGGGAATGAAGTATGGTCAATAAATTAAGTATGGCCACCCAGCAACACACCAAAAACAGCATTTTTATACCAACCTATGCTACTGGCGCTAAACAGACAATGAAGAAAGTCGCATAAGTAAAATTAACGCCTGCTCGATAAGATACCAGAGAAAAGCTGCCAATTTAACCACTCAAGTCTGGTTTAGAAAGTATACACTCAACAGACTGTGAGAAGAACAACTTGCAACAAATGAATGGAGAAATAGAAAATCACATGGTTTGGTCATTTTGCTGAAATGCAGCCTGAACAACTATCAACACAGGTGCAATACCTAAAAAAGATCTTATCTGAATGCAAGAGGGTACCGAAGAAGGAATGGATTAATAACATTAAAGACATGCTCCAGTGCCAGGTGTTCTGTCTTTCGTTTGACTCTCCTGGTTCAGACCTATTTCTATATCGCCTTCTTTATCAATGTGGAAGCCAAAAAAATTTATTGTGATGTTAAGAGAATGGCGGGCAGTGACCACAGGATTTGGCTAATAATTAACACTCAGAGGAAAACAAGATGGACATATAATAAAACTGCTGTGGAATCTGAACTCTTTGCTGGCCAGCTGAAGATGAGGAATGGAGTGTATGCGAATGTCTGGAGTGGTGTCAGCTCTGACACTCAAGACATTGTACATCCAGACAGAATAACAATGGTCAGTGCCACCCACTGAGTGCCGGACTGCAAACTGTTTCTCCTCACAATACTCATGCTGATTGTCTGAAGTTGTAAGAAGAACGGAAAGTGATCTGGTAGCTAGTGGTCATCAAAAGATGAAGTGTCTACAAACTAGGGCTGTAACGAAGCGTTGATTTTCACTATTCGGCCGAATACGTATAGCGGGACCAACTATTCGACCGAACACGAATAGTGCATAATTATAAAATATATCTAAAAAAAAAAAAATTCATAATGTCAAATGTACGCTGAACTTTTACTTCACATAATACTTCACAGAATAGTCATCTTCTTCTTTATCATTCTGAGCCCTTGAGGTTTACTGCTGCAGATATCACTCGTCTCCATTCATCTCTCTGGCTGGCCTTCACTTCACAATTTGTGACACCAGTTTTTTGCAGGTCTGGCTGAACATTATCTCTCGAACTTCTTTTTTGTCTGCCTCGTGGTCTACGCTCATTCCTCTCTCAGGTGTATACAGTTTTTACCTCTCTGTCATCTGACATTCTTTCAATTTGCCCCAACTTTTTTTTAGTCTGTTAGCTCTCATGAAGCCAGTGATCAATGGTGATTTAAACAGATTATGTGTTACGTTGTTGCTTCTCATTCTCCATTTCCCACTGTTAGCATCTTTGATGGGTCCAAAGATTTGTCGTGAGACTGTTTTCGAAAACCTGTAATAAGGCCTCATCTCTTTTATTTCTGCTTCAAGTTTCAGAGCCATATAAAACGACTGGTCTTTTCAACGTATTATATATTTTGATCTTGGTGTTGCGAGACAGACACTTTGACTTTAGTCGATGTTGAAGGGCACAGTTAGACTTATTTCTAGATTGTATTCTAGATTGTATTTCTTCTCTCAGCATGTTAGAGCAGTTGAAGTTTGCACCCAAGTACTTATATGTTTCAGTTCGTTTGATTTTCATACTATCAACTTATATGTGGCCGGAGTTTATATTCCTTCCATGTCTAGTTAGTATTCGTACAGAATAGTCAACGATTTAAAAACATTTTATGTTCTGCATCCTTCAGTCAGTCTGTGGTAACTAATAACTAGGAATGAAAGAATCCTAAGTATTATAACAAGTAACTAAACTTGGAAATTGTCACTGACAGCTTAGTTAATGCAGGAAAGCTGCATTAGCTTTCAACAAAACTAATCGTTCCATGTTGTCAGCATTAAGACCATGTATGCAGAAGCGGATGTAAGGTAACTACTATTCCTATTCGGCCCGACCGCAACTATTTAGCCGAATACAGAATAGTCAATAGGTCCACTATTCGGCGCCGAAGAGAATACGAAGCGAATATTCGGTACAGCCCTACTACAAACTATGAAGTGGAAAATCTTGCATTTATTAACTTCAGTGTAGGATAAAGAAAGGTGGGGGAGGGGGAGAGAACTCTGATAATATGTCTCCAATATGACATACTTTAAGGTATGCAGGGTTTCTTTTTCTTAAAGTGTATGTGCAATATACTGCAACAAACTATCACCTCTAGTGACTGACGTAAAAATGTTCTCCGTTCATCTTTAGCCCACTGTATACACTCTTTACATAGCTCTACCTGTAATAGAGGAAGATCACAGTAAATGTTTAAAAAGTTAAAAATGTTAGTTAAAAAATAAAATGTGTACAGTGGCTTGCAATGGTTGGGGGTATATAAGAAGAATGACTGATAACAGAGAGGCAAAAACTGCATACAGAAAACAGTTGGACAGGTGTAGACCACAAGGCAGACTAAGAAGACAGGGGAGAGATAATATACATTCAATAATTCATTGTCCTATTTGCCATTATATGTCATATAGAGCTTGCAGCCTATTCTTTCATTCCGTTCTATATTGTGTTATCTTTCTGATATACTAATTGGAATCCAATTCAGCGCCTTTGGCCTCTCTTATCAATGTTCATCTCAGGGTTTCTTTTGGACGTCTCTTTATATCCCATTTCAGGATGTGTCCAATATACCTCCTTTGTCTTATAACTGTTGTTACCAATGGTTGCCAAGATATTTCTCTTATTTCTTATTCTTAAAATCCAAGCCGTGTGGTGTTGGTAGTCATGTCTATCCACAACCTTCTGTCTCCTGTACCTGCAATCAACTCTGACACAGATGATCCTCCATGCCATGATGTTAAACTGTCCAGCATCTGTTCTTTCTATCTCCCTCTCCTCCCCTCCAACTTTCCTAATGTCAGGATGTACTTATTTACTCACCCTCTATTGAATTCATGCCATTAGATAATAGATAGGCAGATACATCAACATCTGGAGTCACCAAAGACTTTGAAAGAGAAGGCCAATCACAGAGATAAATAAAGTTGGGCGATCTCTGCAGCAATGAAATTCAAGAGCTCGGAATGCTGAAGAAGAATGTATACACTCCTGGTAAGTTTAAAAGTGGTCCAGCCATGTGCTCTAAATGGTCTTGTGTTCGACTTCAGACTTTGCATTAGGTTTGGGAGCGCTTCTGTGTAAGAGAATCCTGGGATAACAGTTGAAGCTAAAGAGTTTGCACAATATTCTCAACAGGCAAGTTGCTCTGCCCAGAAACACCAAGCCAGATGGGATAAAACTAGTGCAATGGAGTTGATCCTTCCACAATTACAGTGCATAATTAAATCGATGATACTCTTCTTCTTCTTAGTGTCATCTGCTGTAAACTCAAGTGGAAAGTTCTGGCTTCTTAGTGTCATCTGCTGTAAACTCAAGTGGAAAGTTCTGGATGTTCGTCACCTTCTGGACTTTAGTCTTGTTCCAGAATGTTGCATGCCTATCCCTTTTACAGATCTGGCTTATATGTATGCAGACTGTTAGTTTCTTGCCTCTCAGGCAGATGCACTGTGACTTTAAAAGACCCCTAATTAGGTGCCTCCTACAATTTGCTTGTTAGGGGGACAATGAGTCTATTCTTTGTTCTCCAAAATAGATGGATCCCCCAAACCCACAAGAGGAAGAACGATAATGATAACCAGAAAACTGTGCTTGGTGAATGGTGACAAACTGGATACCTCATTGCCTGTTCCTGCTTCCATATCCAGAAAAAGATCCACAAGAGCACGGACCAGTTTTGCTGCCTTGGCTTTGCTCACCATGTTCAGGAACGGACGCACATATTTGATCAAGTTGGCCAATTCTGAAAATGAAATTTTCACCAACACTAACTGAATGGTTCAAGAGTTCTTGATTCTCATAAAGGTACACACAGTAATCACAGAAACTGAGACTGTTTAATGCATACAAGGCTGGATGCCCAACTTTGTGAGACTCTGACCTTTTGTAGGTAGAGGCCCAACACATCATACTCCCACTGTCTGCCCAAAATATACCACATATTTAGAAGGGATGTGCACACAAAACTCAAGTTCTGCAACAAGACTAAAGTTCAGAAGTGGATGAACAACCAGAATTTTCTGTCAGAGTTTACAGCTGATGAACGTGAAGAAGAACAGGAAACAAAAAAGTTATGTAAAACAGAATATCCTTCTACTATACTGTCCTCTCCTTCTTCTGCACCTTGTAGATGCTGCTGAATAGAATATCCTCATCTCATGAGATTAATCAAGCAGAAAGGGAGCAGGAGGTCTGGATTTAACTCCACGTACAAGGAAAAGATAAGCAAACGTAAAATCCATTTATCAACATGGGTACTCTTAACTGGCTATTGAACAACAGGACAGTGCATGGAAATTTCCCAAATGCACTGATATGAATCAATGAATCATTCATTCAAAGAACTGCAAACAATGGTCACTCTAAACAAGGGCAAAGCAACAAAATTACTATACCGTCTGCTTTCTTCTGTTCTGCAAACAAATTTCCAACTTCAAGAATAGCCTGCTCTTTAACCCTGATTGCTTCATCATCAGCCTCTTTAATGTCTTGTTTCACTGTTAAAGAGAGAAGAATAAATAATTCTAAGTGGTGTCATTACATTTCACCCCCAGAAGCTGCAAAACTGACTTTTCTGTTGGGTCCCCGATTCCCTGTAATTGTCACTTTTCCAGCTTGCCTATAGTTACTTGTTTATGAGACATACAGTTAATGATACTGACTGTTTTCATGCCTGGACAAATGTTATGGAGGGTCAGTATATGGTTTATTAACCAAAAATATCATTTTAGGGAATTTTCTTTTATCCAAGTAGCGGCTATCCTCCGAATAGCGGTCCCAAATTATCGGGGCTAAAAAAAAATACCCTCAGAGCTTCAATGTTTGTGACTGTGCCGCCAGGAAACTGAGCAAAATATTCAGTAAACAATGCGCGACTAGTGCTGCAATGGTAACGTCGCATTAGTTCCATCCATAACCTTTTAATCGATAGTGTCGCGGTTCTGCTGTTGTGACAGATTCTGGTGGCGGTGTCATAATTGCAATACTCCTTGCCCTAACCCTAAATCTAGGACTCAGGGAAGAAGTTAAACCTAGGACCCAGGGGAGAAGTTGAACCTAGGACTCAGAAGAGAAGCTAAACCTAGGACCCAGGGGAGAAGTCAAACCTAGGACCCAGGGGAGAAGTTAAACCTAGCATCGGTGTCAAAGCTGTAGACATCCTCGATGATTTGGGACCGTTATAGGGAGGCTGTTTCCCGCAGTATGCAGTATATTCACCAGAAAAAAAGTAAGCAATTTTCATATGATTTAAGCCCTGTTAGGGTATTTTTTTAGCCTCAATAATTTGGGACCGTACCGTAATTCGGATAGCCCAAGTAGTTTTTTTTCTTAAAAAGCCAAGTTAATATCAAATTTGGCAGAAAGCTTTAGTGATAGATTACAACATGAGTCACCTGGTATACACATTTTGGTATACACAAAGGCCTTGGGAAATGTACTCCACTAAATTTTCACCAGGGGAGAAGTCAAACTAGGACCCAAAAAAAAATATTTAAAAGAACGTGGACATCTGAGAGAGCTGTCTACAAGAACGCAGACCTCTGAGAGAGCTGTCTACATGAAAGCGGACCTCCGCGAGAGCTGTCTACAAGAACGTGGACCTCCACGAGAGCTGTCTACACAAACGCAGACCTCAGAGAGAGCAAATACATTTTTTTACAAATTTTTTACAAAGTGACCTTTGTAAAATTGTGTGTTTTAAAGGATTTTTGGTAGCTGTTACGTGAATAGACTTACGAGCATGAGTCACCTGCCGTACTGCAAACAGTGATTGAAAAGCCAACGATACACACAAAGCAACATGGGGAAATGTACTCCCACTAAATTTTCACCATAGTCATGCTTGAAGATAAGTACATGCTTTCATATCTGATAAAAAAAATATTTAAAAGAACGTCGGACATCTGAGAGCAGCTATTGGCGTCTACAAGAAACGCAGACAAACTCTCGGAGAGAGCTGTCTACATGATAACCCGGACCCCTCCGCGAGAGCTGTCTACACAAGAACGATGGACCTCCACGATGACGCATCCTGTCTCACACAAAACGCAGACCACCCAACCGAGAGATAAATAAGTGTGTCGTTTTTTTTTTTTCCCGATCAGTCCTGTTTGCAGTGCCAAGGGAGAGAACTCTGACTAAGTCGTCCAAGGGCTTTTTATTCTTCGTCCGGATTTGACAGGAAGGATTTTTTCTTTCAGTCCAACAGGGTCATGTCCTATTGTGTGTTTAGTGTCCTTGGGGCAAGAGGGTTAAAAAAGAACATAAAATTACAATTATCAATGAAGAAATTAAAAATATCTTGGCACCATAAATAAATAATTAGCTAGAAGTAAGCAAATAAATGAAAATAAACATTTGGAGAACGCATCTTTTCTATGGGAGCACATATGATATATAAGGCATGCTTTACTCACTAAACTCTAAACTAAAGAAGAAAATAATGACTCTTAAACTTAAATATCATTTTCAGAATACCATGGATTAAAATACAGAAAGATAGTTATACAAATAAAAATAAATGCAGCGCAGATAATAAATAAATAACAACCCGCGTACACATAATAAATTAATATTCAAATTAGTTTTAAAATATTTGTCAGAAATGATAATATACAGTACAGCACCGTCTTTTTCTCCCGCAGTTTTCACCTCAATCTCAATCGTTTTGTTATTGTTATGAAAATGGTGAAATCACATCAAATATCCGGCGAGTCCTGAATTGTTTTGTCTATTTAATAGAAACAGCCACCAATAATAACTTCATATAAAAGTCTTACATATAAAAATGGTTACTAACCAATACGTGACAGAATTTCTGTGGCATTTTCCTTGTTGGTGTGTTTAAGGTTGATAGCTTCTTTCATTAAGACGGCTGGCGATGCCATCTTGCAATGCTTGAGGTTGTGGTAACTTCAATCCAGAAGACGCAATTTATCAACCCTAACGTTCCTGCCAAGGTAATACAGTCAAACAAGCATGTACACAAATTGTGACATCTTTCAGAGTGTTACCTGAGTTGGGTTGAGTTAAGTCCAGAACTGACATCACAGCATTTTGGTCATTTTCCATGCGTGTTCCATCCTCATTTTCAGAAGCCAGCGCAGAGTTCCAACACTGATGGTACCTGTCACAATCTGTTTATATGTCTGTCTTGCCTTTCCTCTGAGTGTAGTGAGACAGCCAGACCCTCTAGTTACACCCATTCTTTCCAAGTCATAATAATCTTGTTTTTCTACTGATTCGGTTGCTTGTTCACAAAGGGCCTTGACGACATCTGCCTTGTCATTCAGTGTCACCAGAAGGGCACAAGAGCGTATACTTCTTTAGTAACTGTCATTTATGAACGAATGCCGATGTCAGATAGATTAGTCATTATCATCCTTCTCTGAACAAGACTGTAGGTAACCCCAGGCGGATGTAGCCGTTACGGGTGTTCCAGTTATAACTTCTTTGGAAATTGAACGGGGTATCTTTCCCGTTTTTTTTAAAAATATCCAAAACCATGAGTTGTTAACCCTTTGGCTCGGTACTATGGATATCGCATTCCTTTGGCCTTGATTCCATGACAGGTACCGTAAATCTGGGAGAAATGTGGCTTTTCTGCCTACTCCCGGGAGTGAACCCGGACCACAAGGAGTTCGTCACCCGGTCACCGCGATGTAAGGTTTAACAAACTACGCTAGAGAGCCGGGCTATCTTTCCCGTTAAATGGAAAGACTAAAATAATGGTGATTTCCAAGAAAAGAATGGTGATAACATGTGTAGTAGAAGTAAAAGGCTTTTTTTAGGACAAGTACATAAATTAAGTATCTAGGCACATGAATTACATCCGATGGAAGATGTATCACAGAGACAAAGAACAAAAATGGGACAGGACAAAACTGCATTTTATAAAATAAAGAATATTATGGGAATGTCACGAGTACTAGCATGTCCCTTTTTAATTCAACATAAATCAAACGATTCTGGCCCGCCATGACACACACTTCTTGAAAATTCAACATAAATCAAACGATTCTGGCCCGCCATGACACACACTTCTTGAAAATTCAAAGGCAAACACGTTAAAGTGCTATTAGTGACCCTCACGCACTTAGAATCTAAATCAGCATTTAGGAGGAAATAAAAGCAACAAAACATACATGCAATCATCACCATCAACCACCATTATTATCAAGAGTAACAACTCTCACCTTGCTGTTTAGTGGCGTGGAGAGGAACGCTCAATGAGCGTCACTAGTCATTATAATAATTGAATGATTACTGTTGAATTAAGAGTCAACATCATAGCATTTGAGACATTCCCATTACCGCTGCCTCCCTATCTCCAGCAGCAAGCGAGGAGTTCAATTTCCGATGGAACCAGTAATGTCGGACTGTAAATCCTTATCGCTCTCCCTTTGTGTCGCGCGTTGGCCAGATCCCCTGGTAACTCCTCATAACGCCATTCTCCTCAGACCGTAATGATCTATTTGTGCCTCCGCACTGTTTATCCAGATCTATTATCTCTTTTTTTTTTTTTTAAACACAGTTCATATTATAATAATTTAATTTGTATCCTTTACACGTATAAAACATTTTTGTGTGTTTTGTTTTGGTTGGCCGGTGAACCCATCGGAAAGACTTGAGTCTTAACTCTCAAATCCGATATAACAAACAGAGATGTATTGATTGGCAGTCCTAGAAAGAAGTCGAAAGATAGGACACAACATAAAATCGCAAGCTATAGTTTTCTTGCGGGAATCGAACATGTCACCTCAAAATGATGTCACCGTCTCGCCGCAGGAAAAGTGTTCTTGGACGCATGTCCAATCATATACTCCCAAAATTGTGTCTTTATTAGCCATGCCTATCGTACAGCCTGAACTATCGAATATGGACAGAACAATAATAATAGTAATCGGAAGACGGAGTGGACAGCTTATTCCTCAGTGCACACCACACCATTCAGCTCATACGTGCTTTGATTCGATTCTCAGTAAATCTCTCAGTGCGTAATGGCTGACCACACCAGTCCCGTGTTGGTTTATTATTCTACTTTGGCTTCCTGCATAGTGCACTTATCTGGCCACAAGCCTTTTATTTTTCTGTTTTTGCATTCTGGTCATAGTTGCAAATTCATAGTCTCCTGGTTTTCGGGAACGTCTTATTTCTCGAAAAGCATTCAGTATGTCAGCATGGTCCATAGCACGTACACCCGCCACGATAGCTAAACCTGTCTGACTGTCTGTTTGTATGGTGTAAGTGAGAGGAGTGCATGCGTTAGTGAGTGGGTGGGTGTGTGTTTGTGCGCATGTGTTTACATTCATGTTTTTGTGTTTTTTTCCTTGTCATTCATGTTTTGCATATTGTTATATGAACATAACATGCCTCACTGATAAAGTACATTTGCTGTGTGAAAGATGAGTGTTTGGAATAGCAAAATGTAAAATGGGCCTGTGCGGCTAAATTGTGACCCTTTGAAATTAAAGTTCGTTCGTTCGTTCATTCGTCTTCTTCTTCGTCACCATCGTCGTCACCTTTTTCTTTTCTCCTACCTCCTTCGTTGTTTTCGTCATCCATGTAAGCCGAGGGAGATAAAAGCACATGTTTTCTGATCAGGTCAGTTCAACTGTTAGGTAACAATAGTGTTGGTTCCTGTGGAGTCGAGAAGAAGGTTTGTGTACGTGCTATCAATTCTCATCAGCGAAAGCTTAACAAACTTAGGATACCACTGCTTGTGCACAAGCATCGCCGCAAAGAAAAATGATTCATCAGTACTGGATTTAGTGGGATACTGATAAAAGAACATACACAAAAGAAACAAGATCTGTTGTTAGTATTACAATGTGTCATTTATTACAGTCTTTAGAAGCAATGACACCATTCCACGAGTCGTCTCAGTAAACACAGCGTACGAAGTAATTTCGCCATCTTGTAAGAGGCAGCCAGAGCCAACTGTATATGAAAATCTGAAAAGACGAACAAAATCGAGGAAGGCGAGAGAGAGAGAGAGAGAGAGAGAGAGAGAGAGAGAGAGAGAGAGAGAGAGAGAGAGAGAGAGAGAGAGGCCACGGAAGCTATGTATAGACGATCTAGCAGATTAAGAAAAAATCTGTCACTCAAGCCTCAGAAAACCACGTCTTGGCTACAACCAGAGAAGAGGAAAAGACAGCTCTAATAGAAGCATTATTGTTTTACTGAAGGCAAGCCGAAGTAATAGACAAACGGGCACTCTTTCTTATGTCCAATGAAATTAACATAAACATTTTAGCTCACTCTGTCATCGACACATTGACTTTGCGCCCAGCATCGATCCCAGCATCGATAGTCAATATGCAATACGTCATCAAATAAACATTAACAAGTGGACTGTGCAGTTTCGATTAGGTTATGGGCGGGCTGTAGGCACTATTTCTGTGATCAGTTTTTTTCTTTCTAGATTTGATTTCTTACTTTTGCCGTATTTACTCAATGACTTAATAGTGTGGTGTATACAGTTAATTACCATATATACCAGTCAAACAATATAAATATTATACTGCAAATGGTAAAGTTTAAATGATCGATGCAAAATTAAAACAACATCAATTCTAGGAAGTGCCGATCGTTTGGTTCGATAGCAAGATTTCTGTGTTAGACATGAATGAATACTCTATAAGCTAGTGACAAAAACTCCCCTTATTCTCAACAAACAAATGGCAGATTACGCAGCGTTGTAATATATTAGTTTATGAGTTCAAAATCGAAAATTTGAAAACAGGATTTAAATGATAACATTTTAAAAGTATTGGCACTATTTTGTGTGATTCGAATGCTCGAACTTTGGATTAGGCAATAACGTTTGTACTATAAAGATGTATGTGGCTTTTCAAAACGGACTGTGTTAACTTGCCACTTTGTTGAAACCCGAGGAAATTGCCACACACATTCAGGAAAATAAACATAACGTTTTATATTTGTGTACAGATGAAGTTTAGAATCGCGAATTGTACGATTTGCGAAATTAGACATATAATGTTTGCTGAAAACATAAATTATATAAGTAAAAAAGGCATCCCACTGTGAGGTGAAATTTTTTCGTTATTTCAAGCCCCACCCTGGCTCTTGCCGTGGGCTCCGAATATAGCTGGGCCACATTTGTGGCCATAACGGCTAAAAGGGGTTTATGGGACCTCTCCACGGATGATCCTCATCCGCATGGTGGCACTTTGTGTCACCGGGTGTTTATCGCTTGTGTGATATCCTGGAGGGGTACAACAAGCAAGCAAGCAGCGTAAATGATGCTTGTTATTTTATTTCATCTTTTATACACATAGTCCGTTTTTTAAAAGGACAGAAAAATAACATTAAATCAATTACGGTTGAATATTTTGTTGATATCAACTGGTAACCATACAAATTATGTGATTGGCTGCGTTTCTTAATATAAAATGTATACCCAGAAAAAAAAAAGAAGAGATTTCTGTAATGAATTTTCGGTAACGGATTACCACGATCTCGTTCTGCATTTTTTAAATTTAGGATTCGTGGGTGATACATGTGTTAGAATGTTAATTAAATTTATCGTGATTTACATTTAGTGCACACATAAAGAAACAACGATGCGAGTGAAATCTATTCACAAACAATTCTTGTATATCCTATTGCTAGGGCTATTAGTGTACACCGCACTCAAGTATATGTGTGTCTTTTCAAAGTTCAACCTGGCCATTGTCCATAGATCGAAACTATTTTTGGTGAACGTCGCATGGGATAATGTTAATTTATTGAATCATTCACCGATGACTGCCCTGCCTGCTAACGAATATGGTTTAAAAGAAGGTAAGAAACATGATAGCAACAGATAAATACAAAATATTAGGAAATGTAAAGAAACAACTCACTAACACGGGCCCAGGCTCCACCCACTTACACACAAGGTCATTTTTGATTGGTGCATGGTCAGGCTATTGAACTTTGCTCAAGGTTACAGGGGTGTCCCGGTTTACTGTTTGCTCAAAAAGCTTTCTGTGTTGTCTTCTATTTACGTTTTTTTTTCCTTCAGAGAAAGAGAATGCCTGTGAAGAATGCTGCAGCACCCTCGTAGGGTAGTTTGTGTTATGGCCAGTTCTGCATGTTTTGGGACAGTTTAAAAGCACTGACATCCTGGAATATACAACACGTGATATCACCGGCCGGTGAAGAGAACGCAGAAAGCTTCTCGAACAAAATAGTACACGGGGACACCCATGTAACCTTCAGCAAAGTTTACGAGACTAACGAAGTTTGAATAAAAAAATGACCTAGCGTGTAAGAAGGCGGAACCTGGGTCCAGAAACATGAGTTGTTCCAATGTAACCTATCATAAAAATATTGACATTGTGAACGATCTGAAAATAAAGGAAAACTGGCTCATATACAGCATCTTGTCACGGAAACAGAAATATGTTGGCCATATTAAACGCCACAGTGGAAGGGGAAAGAACGGTGGCGTGACGGAATGGTACTAGGAATTAGGGCTGTACTGAATAGTGATTTTCACTATTCGGCCGAATACGAATAGCTGGACCAACTATTCGGATGAATACGAATAGTGAATCATCATCATCATCAAGAGCTTTGCTGACTGGCATGGGCGATTATACCTCGCCACAATCTGCGATCTCCTGCAGCATGTATTAGTTCGTGTGCTGGCACGAACTAATTACTTCTGTCTTCCCATTATTCAAACTGAGGCCCATTCTTCCATTTCGTATATAAAATAGATCTTAAAAAAAAAGCATTCATAATGTCAAATGTACGCTGAAATATTACTTCACAAAATGTAGTACAGAATATTAAACATTTAAAAACATTTCATGTTTTGCATCCTTCAGTCAGTCAATCTGTGGTACCTAATACCTAGGAATGAAAGTATTCTTAGTTTTATAACAAGTAACTAAACTTGTAAATTGTCACTGACAGCGAAGCGAATATTCGGTACAGCCCTATTAGGAATAGAGGTGGAGGGGGGCAGAAACTGGCCTGCACAAAGATGGATACTTGACACTAAAGACACCTTTATCATAAAAGTGCATGAAACGTGATACCTTCTGGCGAGGGACCCAGTTTCTGTCAGGCGTGCCTTGATGGGAGCGACTTCTGTAGAAGACTATTGAATTATGAGCCTGACCTATACAAGCCTTACTTAGACCATCTCCCGCCCTGACTCAGAGAGCCAGTCTCGCGGTAACTATCGAAGCCAGTGGCAGAACTTTTCACAGTAAGTTAGCCGGACTCTCCACCGTCATCCTCTAATGTACTTAACGACCTGCTTGGCTTGCCTTTTGTTTTTACCAGCATATTTTTCTTTAAGCACAAACGAATGAATTAAGACACTTGCTTGCTTGCTTGTTGTACCTCTCCAGGACATCACACAAGCGATAAACACCCGGTGACACAAAGTGCCACAATGCGGATGAGGATCACCCGTGGAGAGGTCCCGCAAATCCTTTTCAACCGTTATGGCCACAATTGTGGCCCAGCTATATTCAGGGCACCCGGCAAAAGCCGTGGCGGAGCTTCAAATAACGAAAAATTCACTTCTTACAAGGGGACGACCAGTATTATTAACTAGAAATTATGACACATATTGGCAAGGCATCAGTAGCTCTCAAAGGCTTGCACCAAAATATGGAACTCGAAAAGCACATAGTTATTTAACCAAGTAAGGTATTTTCATTTTCAATGTCATTTCAGTTTTATAATATATATAATAAAATGATGAAATAGGATTAATTCAAGAAGAAGTAAAAAGCAATGTACAGTTATAAGACAGAGAATATTACGATTTGTTGGACGATCAGAGAATCAATATACAGGCACGAAAACGGGAAATAGGAGGATTTAAGAAACGATGAATTTTAAGACAAAGCCTAAGGCAAGCGGTAATGAGAGAAGACAAAAGTGTCGGACTGGATTCAGTCCATGTTATCGAAATGACTGCACAGGTTAGCACAGAATGAAGGAATAGACTATGTGTTATATAATGTCACAACAAGACAATGAATGAACATTTTTCTTTTACCGCTAAAATTACAAGTGTTTTAGGATAAATAACATTCTTCCGGGTAATGTGGAAATAAATGGGTGTGATTGCTTCCAATAAACTATCCCCGCAACCTATGACTTAATGATTGGTTCATTTTGTTCTTCTTTTTATACTTATTCTAATTTTCAGAGCTCAACTTTAAGAAGGTATAAGTTAATCTAAAGATATTTATAAATATGAAAGCAAGGTTACTGTACTCAGCACTAGATCACAACCGAAAAATATGTTTACTTTGCAGACAGACTAGACTCGGTGCAATTGCCGCCTTTCGTGGATAGTCGAAATCTTGCTGGTCCAGGTTGGCATGTATTTTGTATTTAATTGTTCTGGCTTTTTCTCGTTAGTTTAAATTGTATCCTCTTCTCTCTCTCTCTCTCTCTCTCTCTCTCTCTCTCTCTCTCTCTCTCTCTCTCTCTCTCTCTAAGTCTTTCCAAATCTCTTTCGCTTTGAATCTTTATACCTCTCCCTCTCTCTAAATCTCTCTCTCTCTCTTGTTCAGTAACTATCTTTCCTACTCGCTTTTATATCTCAAGTTCTCACACCAGAGGACACTCTCTAGCACTTCCGTTGTTTCTCTGTCTCTATAGCAATCTATTTCTTATTGTCTTTCTATCTAGATATCTCTCACGATCTCTAGCTCTTTATCATCCTTTCTCTCTCATTCGTTCATTGCCTCACTCTCTTTTACAGCTTTAGTTCTCTCATTAGCGTAGACTCGCTAACTTTCCGCTCTCTCTCCTTTTATAGCAACAGTTCTCTCACTAGTGAACTCTCTCTCTCTCTCTCTCTCTCTCTCTCTCTCTCTCATCATCATCATCGTGGATTGCAAATTGCTCTATATAAATATAAGACTAGCACCATATGCCCCGTGTGCTCCTGGCATTAAAAGGGCCCGGTATTTATTTACTGTCACAGACACTTTGTGGCCATTACCAGCGCATTTGTTCCAGAAAAAACCGTCATCAAGTACATTTGTTTATTCAAGCGGAACGACAATGACCAGAGCCGCCAAGATTGATTTGATTTAATTCACGAACCGACACGACAGGCCTCTAAGCATTCCCATTAGTTCTCCGTCCCCATCTTCAGCAGCCAACGCCGAGTTCCAATACCAGTGGTGCCAGTAGCAGTCTGATTATTTTGTCCGTCTTGCCTTTCCTCTGAGCGTCCAGTATCGGCCAGATCCCTCGTCAAACCCCGCTGCATTACTCTCACCAGACTGTGATGATTAATTTGCTGTTCCAAATTATATACCTGCTTCCATAGGGCCTCAACAACGTTTACCTTTTCATATATCAATATTGCTTCAAGCAAGTTCTTCTGGGTTTCTCTGTCAGTGTTCTTAGGATATATACTTCATTACCTGTTCCTCTTCCCTCCACAAAACCACACGGTTCTTGGTTAATTTCCATCTTAATTTTTCTTCCCGTTCCTCTCATTACAATTCTTGTATGAAATATAACCAACTGTTGAATGTTAAGTTGAGAATCGACATTACAGCACTCGGGACACCCCTATAAACGCTTTTTCCCCATCTTCAGCAGCAAGCGAAGAGTTAAAATTCCGACGGCACCAGTAACTGTCTGATTGTATATCCGTCTCGCCTTTAACCTGAGTGTCGAGCGTCGGCCAAATCCACTTGTAAACCCTCGCAGCGATATTCTGCTCAGACTGTAAGGATCTATCTGTTCCTCGGCACTATTCACTCGCTCCCAAAGGGCCCTCACAACATCCAGCTTGTCATACAAGAGTTCACCACCAATTCGTGCAGAACCAGCTTTTCCATCTTCCTGCTCTTTTCCCTACACACCCGCATTACCTGAAGAAAATATCCAAAGGATGCTAACTACCCGGGACAAATGTACGCAACTAATATTATTTGTTTCTTCATAATCTCCAGGAGAAGGTGGTGCAGCAGTACAGCTTAATGAGTCTTATTTATCTTCTGAGACAAATAAGACTCGCTACAAAGACGGGTGGATTCGGTATCATTTTAATGCCTTTGTGAGTGACATGATATCCGTCCACAGGACATTACCTGACTGCAGAAGTGACATGTAAGTGCAGCTGCATTGTATAAATTAGATTTTTGTGTGTGTGTGGACTGTCTTCCTTTTTCAAAGTGTTTACCGTCTCTTCTTCTTCTTCGCTTTCCCCCACTGTAAACTCCGATGGAAAGTTCTGGTTATTTGTCCACTCTTGGACATTAGTCTTGTTCCAAAACTCGAATTTTGCTTGCACATGCATTTTAGAGATCTTGATTATTTGTATGCAGACTGTTGATTCCTTGCCTCTCAGGCAGACGTATTCTTACTTTGAAACAAACACTCACAGTTTGTTGCCTCCTACGACATGCATGTGGCAGTGGGTATATTCCTTGTTCTCCAACATAGAACTCCAGAGCCCGCAGGGAGATTGTCGTTATCAAATAGACGTCCTGTGTTCACGATCGAATATAGTGCTTTATTCATCATCAAATATACAGTCATTTGCCTATCATTATAACGATGGGTTGCCCACTTGGAAAAAATGTACTGAAATGCCATACTATTCAAGGTACATACCCAATCGAGAAGAGGGACTCAGAGCACGAGAATGATAAAGACCAGGACGAAAAGATACATAAGAGAAGCTCTACAACAGTACGATGTATCTATAGTCGAGGCGTTTAGGAAACAGGACCTAGTATCTCTATCGAAACCCAAAGCGGTCTAACAGGAAGTGACGAAGAATAAGAAGTTCACCATCAAATACACGGTTCTTGTGGGGGTTCCTGGGATCTATGTGGTCATGGGGGTGGGGGTGGGGGTGGGGGTGGGGGGGGGGGGGGTTTATACCCACTGCTCCTTAAAAAGCATGTTGTAAAATGCGACTAACTAGGAGCTTGCTGAAACCGTATATGTTGTAACGAAAGGGGCAGCTATCACAGCCTTATTGTGAACCACAAAACAATGTGCCAACTGCTGTTTTAAGGGCGAAAGCAGAAAAGAAGGAGAAGAAATTTACGGCCCCTCGATCACAATTAAATGAACTTTTTTTTAAAGGTTCATCTCGTTTATAATTAACAATAAATGCATGGTTTAGCTTGTTGGTAATGAAAGCGAGAATGCAGCCAGGCTAAACTGTGTATGATATTTTTAAAATAAGCAAAAGATCATGTAAGAAAAAAAAAAGGGGGGGGGGGGGGATGACCAAGAAAGAGATGGATAAATGGTGTCGCTGAAACCTGCATAAAAAAAATAAAAAAATAAACATTCTGTGACCCCAAAAGCCCAAGACAAATACAGAAAACCACGACTGTGGGCTGAACCTGGTATCAATGATTGTTCTCTGTCGAATAGAACGCTTGCAGAAGGCTCTGTGCTGGGTATCAAATATATATATCTTTGTTTACCATAAAAAATAGGACACAAGTTCACAATGGAAGCTGAGTTGTTTTGAGTCAAGAGTTGACATCACAGCACTCGGGGCATTCCCATTCATCTTCAGCAGCCAGCGCAGAGTTCCAATACTAATGATACTGGTGGTAATCTGGCTATATGTCGGTCTTGCCATTTCCCCTGAGTGTAGTGAGCCGGCCACACCCCCTGGTTACACCCAGGAGCCTCATTCTCTCCAGGCCATAATAATCTTGTTTCGCTGTCCACTCCGTTTACTTGTACCCAAAGGGCGCTGACCACATCTGCCTTGTTATGTATCAGTTCACCACCCAGTGGTGCAGATCCAACCAATCTGTCTGTCTGTTCTTTCCCCACCACTCCAGCATTGCCAGGAGGAAACATCCAAAGTATGCTAACTACTCATTCACAATGGAAAAGACTGGCCTTTATTCACAGTTATCACGCGATTCGTTGTTCACCATCGGAAAAATTGTTTTCTGTGTGCTCATGATTAAAACCACGTTTTGTGTGTAATCATAAGATAAACATATATTTTTTAATTTATTGTTTTTGACGTAAACAACCTTGACCTGAGCTGAGTTATATTAAGAACTGACGTCACATAATTCGGGACTTTCCGAAAGTTTCCCAGTCTTCATCTTCAACAGCAGCCAACGAAGAGTTCCAATTCCTAAGGTACTAGTAGCAGTCCTGCCTTTCTTCTGTTGTAGAGTGTCGACTAGATCTCAAGCTGTATCAAAAGACTATTCAAGGTGAAGGATCCATAAGGGTTTAGTCTGAAAGAAGTGGTTAAACTTATACTATAATATACAACTCATCTACCGCATTGATCTCTTTCTTATTAAGGTGTAGGAAGCGGATAAAACAATTCAATGGCAGCTTGCCAGAATTCAGTGTTGTTTTAGTATTCAACAACGAAGCGTGGACCACGCTGTTACGTTCAGTACACAGCTTAATCAACAGGACACCACAACATTTGTTGAAAGAAATCCTTCTCGTTGACGACAATTCCGACTTTGGTAAGCGGGTTTACTTTGTTGTGTTACATGAACATCGTGTTTAAAAAAAATATATATCCGTTTGTCTATCTCACAGGAACCGGGTGAATTCTTTACATGTTTTACTTCCCCGTTTTATGGTAAGAATAGACCTCAAAATTAGATAGATCTGGAAAGATGTACGTGCATCTAAAGCTCCATTTATGAAAGACGATCAAAGTCCAGAAAAAGAAGAAGCAGAAGAAAAAAGTGTACACCCATTACTGGTTCGTCTCATATCATCTTTTGTAAGTAAAGTAAAGCACCCTTTTCCACGTGTTGGGTATATATAGGGCTGGACCTGTATTTTATAGACCCTACGGCATTTGGTGGTCGATGTGATTAGCATCACGCCGGCTGCCTTTACTTCCAAGGACTGTACCTGGTACTCGCTCAAGGCTGGGTCTACCTGGAGAGCCAAAGTAATTTTTTGGTCAGGAATCGATCTCACGACCTTCCGATCCGCTGCTGAGCGTCTAGCCGCTAGACCACAGCGGCTTCTATTAATACTGGTAAAAGCTGGACATTTCTTACTCATCGGCCTCATTTGAATCTTCTCTCCTTGTGTGGTGATCTCGGCCCTTTTGTGGGTACACGAGAAGAGACCTACTGCCCCCCTCAGCATCTGACTCAGAGACAAGGACCCAACAGTCTGCATATACATAATTAGATATGTTAAACGGATATGCATAAAAACTCGAGTTCTTGAACAAGACCAAAGTCCAGAGGTGGACGAGCAACCAAAACTTCCCCCTGGGTTTACAACCGGTGAACGTGAAGAAGAGGAAGTGTCTTCTTAGTTTACTATTAACTTTTCTATTTATTTAATAAACATATTTGACGTTTAATCTTTAACCTGTTTTAATCTGAAGGAACTTACGATGTGTGAAGAGGAATGTCCATTGAACCCCATCCTCCATGTTAGGTGTTCTCTCTTTGTTTTGTTTTTTCACATTATCGTCATCAAACGCCTTGCCGACAGGCAAGTGTTCAGTGAAGACCTTCGTTAAGCAATCAATCAGCAAGCTCAGTGACGATCAGAGGCAATGCAAAGAAAACCAGGAGGTCAAGGAGAAAAAGCGAGGGAGGAGGGGGGTGGTGTCGTTCAGTGTAGGATCAGCCGCAAGGATTTTCTGGCGAAAAAGCTCAATGGTATTTAACCTTGTTTAAGTGCGCACTAATTATTTTTACGATTTTATATGCAGAATAGCAAAAAATACAGTATGAAATTTGAAATAATATGAAATGTTTACATAAATACTTAAAAAAAACGTGTACATGTGATGGGGGGGGGGAACCTCCTTTCTAATATTGGGGGGGGGGGGGGCGGGGAGGTGGGGCTGTGCCCCCCTTACCCCAGTTCAGTTATTTGGGAGAGGGCCTAAGGTTTATGAGTTCCCAGATTCCTGTTGTGAAGATCAGACTAAATATTTTTAAAATGCCAAATCGGTATGATCCACGATAATCTCCCCATGTTACACACTAGCCCGACCTTCGCACCCTGCCGGGGGGGGGGGGGGGGGAAAGGAGGGGTATTTCGGCAATGCGTTTATATCGCGTGTTGTATATTTAAGCACGCCAGCGCTTTTGAGGCTAAAAAAAAAAAAAACAACAACATTCACACACTGGATCTCACTCACAACACCCCTAGAGAGTGCTGCAACCTATGTCACATGCATTCTCTTTTTGGAAGAAAAAACGTAAATGCAAGACAAGCCAGAAAGGAAACAATATAGCCGTAATCCCCGGACAGCAGACCAGTCTAAAAAATCTATCGATGGACCGTGCCGTGACCTAGTTCGGCAGGCGAGATTATAGTAGATCACACCGATAAATCCAGTATGACACAAAGGTTCTTAATACGTTAGTGTCGCCACCGAATGTTGGTCAACTCCAATAATAAGTTTGTTGGACTAGTCTACCGTGGTCGAGGTTATGGTTGTCGCGGTCTCTTATTGTCTTGCATTTACGTTTTTATTCCGAGAAAGAGACGGCCTGTGATATAGGTTTCGTCACTCTCTGGGGGTGGGTGTTGTGTGTTAGACCCAGTATATACATTTTTTTTGTAGTGTTAAAAGCTCTGGCATTGTGAAATATACAACACGCGATATCAGCGCAAGTGCGGAATAGCGCCGTGACATTGTGTGAAGGTCGGATCGCTCGAGGCCAACTTATCAGAAGTGAAGTAGCCTGGAGGTCGACCAATCAGAAGCGAACTAGTGTGTGTACCGGTGTGTAAATGGGGAGACCTACGTATTAATAACCGACACAAACCACAGTACGCACGTTTCTCCACAGATCATCTTCGAGGCCCGCTACATAGACACTTCCGCCTTTTCCCAAAAGTGAAAATCATCCACTCGCCACAAAGAATTGGTCTGATCAGAGCCAGACTGCTAGGATTTGACTCAACAGTTGCACCAGTCGTGATCTTTTTGGATTCCCATGTGGAATGTTTTCCCGGTAGGTGTTGTGAAAATTGTTTGTCCTATACCCAACCTTGTTATCCTTGAAGATAGCTGCTGCTTCCAGAGCACTGGCATGGGCTGTAGAACAATCGGCCACACATGCGGTAATCCTTTCAGACCGCAAGAACATGCTTCAGAAAATCGCAACAGGTAGTCTGCGTTCTGAATAGGTTAAAAGCATTCGGAAGTTGCAGTTAACCTACAACATTTGGATCTAAACAGTTTTGACATTTGTGGCTGGAGAATTGTTTCTGATATACGAAGCGCAACAATAACATCCATTTGGTTTTTACGTTTAGTTTTTATTGTTGACACGCCTGGGAAAGTCTTTCCACACACATAGGAAATCCTCAAGGTGTTAATCCTACACACTGACAAAGAAAAACATCTACCCAACGTGGTTACATGATTGAACTGAATTCTTCTTGCTGCTCGCTTAGTCTTTTTCGTGGCACACAAATGGGCCACGGCTTGTGGGTTGAAGAACACTGATCTAACCATTAAACAAGAGAACAACCAGTTAGCTCCACATCCTTTACAGAAATGTGGAAACCCACCCTAGGGTTTGTTGACTATGGTTGTACTAAACAATTTTAGCGTCACTATTTCTCCATGGCCAACTGGACAATCGACATTCCTATTATCCAGCGGCTGAAACGAACTCAGTATGTCGAAATTATGAAACTATATTCCTAACCCAAAGGCACAGACGCCGACAGGGAGCAGCAGGGAGGAGAGGCAGTTTTTTTTGGCAACATATCTAATCTGATTACAGTGTGACCAGCTACTTGTTCTGCTGCCCATGCGAGAGATCGCACTGTCCTTTCTGAGGGTCGTCTAGTCCTAATTTACTGGGATGTACTGATCATTTGGTATAGCAATGCCTAATTCGTCTGGATAGGATATTCCACCCCCAACGCTCAATCAATCAATCAATCAATCAATCAATCAATCAATCAATCAATCAATCAATCAATCAATCAATCAATCAATCAATCAATCAATCAATCAATCAATCAATCAATCAATCAATCAATCAATCAATCAATCAGTAGGCCCTTTGCAAAACGTCAATCTTTTCACGACTGAAAGTCTGTCTCTGTCTAGCCAATGTTCCAGCCCTGTGTGCTTTCATATTCAGTGCATCTTCCACATCCTGTATTCAAGTTCGCACTGGTCGGCCTCCGGGTCGCTTTCCGGAAACTGCACCCACCATCACCGTTCTCATGGCTTTTGACATGTCAAAAATAACTAAGTTTTCATGAGAGGATGCTGTCATTAAGCCAATGCCGTTATTGAACCGATACTGTTATTGAGCCAATACTGTTATTGAGCCGATGCTGTTATTGAGCCGATACTGTTATTGAGCCGATGTTGTTGTGTAGCCGATGTTGTTATTGAGCCGATGTTGTTGTGTAACCAATGCTGTTGTTGAGCAGATGCTGTAGTGTAGCCGTTGTTGTCATTGAGCCTATGCTGTCATTGAGCTGATGCTGTCATTGAACCGATGCTGTTATTGAGCTGACGCTGTCATTGAGCCAGTTATCCTTGATGTTCAGGTCACGCAGGATGTCGACGATTTTTCTTCTTTTTGGTTCACGGTATTCTAAAAATTTGTCTGTAGCATTTCAGTTCTCCCTCTTCTTTTCCTTCGCGTTCACCAGCTGTACACTCTGGCGGAAAGTTCTGGCTGTTCGTCCACTTTTGAACTGCAATCCTGCTCCACAACCTGAATGTTGTGTGTGCACCAGTTTTACAGATCTGATTCACTTGAATGACATGCTTTTTGGTAGGCAGTGGGTTTATTCTTGTTTCGCTTCAAAAGCTCAGATTTTCTTCTCCAAAGACCCCAAATAACGGCTTCATTGAAATGTTCAATAGTCTGTTCCTTCTCTTTAAATAGTGTAACTTAGCTAGTTCAATTTTCCTGGGTGTTTCTTGCAATTTTAGAATTGTGTGGGATAGGGGGAAAAATAGACTCTTCACCTACCCAACAAGCATGTCGTAAAAGCCGACTAAATAGGGGCTTCTTTCGAAGTCGGAGTGCATCTGCCTGAAAGGCAAGGAACCAACAGTCTGCTCACAGATAAGCTACACATGTAAAGCCGATGCGCACGCAAAACTCATATGCTGGAACGACAATACAGTTCCAGAGGTGGGCGAACAACCAGAACTATCAGCCGGAGTTTACAGCCGATGACTGCGAAAAAAGAAGAAAACTAATTTACATACACGAACACACAACGAACACATACACAACAAACATTTACTATTATTACGTTAATTATGTTTATGTGAATTCATTTATATCATAAAATCCAGGCTGGGCGGAGAGTATGCTAATCAGAATAACCCGAAACCCACAGGCGGTTGTGTTCCCTATTATAGAAAGTATCAGTGACCGCAACTTCGGAGTGCAGTGTACGGCACGCATAGAAGAATATTGTACCTTTCTGTGGAAAACTCTCCAGTATCACTGGGTGCCCATTCCTAGACGAGAGCTGAATCGACGGATGGACGATGATGACTCATACAGGCAAGTATACGTATACCACCGTTAAGTTGTGATTTTCACATATCCCTCCTGTCGCGTGCCTGAATTAAGGATTTCTCCTTAAGAACCAACAGCACTCTGAAATAATTATGTTGGGTCGTTGGCTCGTATTTTTCTAAGGGATATCCCGTGGCCAATATACGCTCAACTTATTTCAGGAGTAGGGCAACTCAAGCTTTGGCACTACAAAATATATAATATTCCTAGGCACACTTGGCTGGACACCCCCACTACTATGAAAAAGGTAGCCCCCAGGTTATGATAGTATACTATCATAACCATGTTAACACAGATAAATATCATTAATTGAACATACATGTATTTTAGACAGCTAAGAACAATGAATGAGTGACACTCCAGTTAATAGTGAAACTTTAGAAATACTGTAATAAGTGTCACACATACATTATATAAGAATCAGCAGAACTTCAAGAACCCAGAGTGATTTGAAAGACCAAAACTTCAAACTCGATCTGACTGAACGTGTATGAATGTTCCAGAGTCTGCCTAGAATTATGCAGACAAAAGGACATGGTCGTGACCTCGTGTTTGCCCTGGTGAAACGGGCAGTTACTTTTGAATGTAGTCGATTTTGTGTTTCAGCTAGAAGGATTCATTGTGTACTTTATGTGTGTCAAGTGTTACTGCAGTATGCATCTATTGAAATACAGCGAAACATGATAGGCAATAAATTGTGCAATCTTTTATTTATGTCTTCCTAGTTCAAATACAAAATATCTGGAGGGCAGACAAGCTGAGCAAATCTCAGATTCAAATGTCAACTCCGAAACAATTATAAGGGGGGAACCTATAACGTATACACCACCCTGGTGTAACCTGCAGCACTCTCAAGGTAAACGGTTGTGCCAGGAGATAATTCTCAATATTTATTCTTTTTTTCTTTCTTGCGCTTACCCGCAGTAAAACTACAGCAGAAAGTTTTTCATTCCTTCTGGACATTAGTCTTTCTTCAGAACTTGAGTTTTTACACATGTAGTTTATTTATATGCCGACTTCGAAGGAAACTCCAATTATTACGACAAAACTTATTAGGAGGAGGGGTGGGGTGGGGGGGGGGGGGGAGTGGTATGTTCTCCCCCCACCCCACCCCCCACATGTGGGACGCGGAACCCACAAGGGGAGTATATACATTTGAATTTACTTTAAATAAATGGTAAATAGATGAAGAATCAGGTCTTTCTATTCCAGTTTTAGATTAATTGTAATATAACTTGAAAATACATACACATCTACATAGATCGTCTTTTAAAGATTTGTCTTCTCTGTCCTTACTGCGAGGTAGACGCGTCAACGTGAAGGGAGATGGGGAGGAGGGGAAAGGGATGACTTTGATTCTAAAGATTAAAGGCCGCATAATAGGTGCAGTCACCAAGGACTGCGCAGGTTAAGATTTTATATTATTGTTTCCTCTGACAGTTCTCATCCACCTTTTTTTAAACCCCTAATCTTACAGAGGATTCAAATCTGTGCTCCCGCATTGGAGCCCAACCTGCTTAAACACTCGACCACCCTCTCATGATTGCTTCTATATAAGGAATATGTGATTTGATGAGAATCTTTGTAAAGGTACGGCCACGTTTTTGATCCAGATCACCTGTAATGCCCGGTGGGATATTTGCGGTCACTCGAGAGTTCTTTACAAAACTTGGGAAATATGATCCAAAACTGGGTTTCTGGGGCGGAGAAAATATGGAGCTCTCTTTCAAGGTAGGTGTATGTCAAACTGTGCACATTACTTTCTATTCTAGATTGTTGTCTGGCAGACTGGTTGGCTTGCTGATTGCTTGGCTGGCTAGTTCATTGTCCAGATGGTTGACTGTCTGAATGGCTGGTTGTCTGGACGGAGGATTGTCTAGACGGTTGATTGTCTGAATGGTTGGTTGTCCAGATGGTTGATTGTCTGAATGGTCAGTTGTCTGGACGGTTGATTGCCTGGACGGTTGATTGTCTGAATGGCTGGTTGTCTGGTTGTCTAGACGGTTGATTGTCTGGAGGGTTGATTGTCTGAATGGCTGGTTGTCTAGACGGTTGATTGTCTGGACGGTTGTCTGAATCGCCCACCAACTGCCCTCTAAAATTATGTGCCCGTATTATATGCTCACTGCTTCCCGAGGGTTTCTAGGCCCTTTGTGGCGACAACAAGAATAGACCAACTACCTCCTTAGCAAGCTTGTCGTAAGAGTCGACTAAATGGGAGCATTCTTCAGTCAGAGTGCATCTGCCTGAGAGGCAAGGAACCAACAATCTGCATACAGATAAGTCAGATATGTAAAGGGGATGTGCACACAGCACTCAGATTCTGGAACAAGACTTCAGAGGTGGACGAACAACCAGAACTTTCCGCTAGAATTTACAGCCGGAGAATGCGAAAAAAAAAAAGACATACAGATGCGCTACTTGTATACAAATTTCCCTTACTATAGTAAGTTTTATCACGGCCATCTTTAGGCTATAAATAGCCTAAAGATGGGCGTGGTTTTATTTACCGTCTGTTGTTCCCTAGACGTGGATGTGTGGCGGGACCTTGGAGATGGACCCCTGTTCTTATGTTGGCCATGTCTTCCGCCTTGGTGGGTCTATCAAGGTGGATGCCTCGGTTATTTTCAGGAATGCAGTACGTGTGGCCGAAGTCTGGATGGACGATTATAAAAACTACTTCTATGAAATGAACAATTACAGAAACGTAAGTTGTAAAATTGTTGTGTTAAAAAAATAATTCTAAGCTGGTAGCATGGATACAGATACAACGTTTCTGAAATATACACACAACTATAATAAATCACCATTAAGGGACACACTCTCAAGGAGGCAGGACGAAAATATAATCTAGGTGATGACGTTGGATTGGCAACACTGAGAAGACTACAAGAGCTTCAGGGTAAAAAAGGTGACGCCAGGCATAAACACTATTCAAATCGCCAAAGAGGTAAAGTAGACCAACACACAACTGGTATTATCAGTCGCCACACGCTGAGGGATATACTGAAGATGTGATCCGAGCGCTTATCGACTTGGCTGATGTGCAGTAAGGATAATCTGTCGATTAATTAACTAACTAATTAGGAGCAAATATTATGAGTTCAAATGTTTGTTGGCGTCCGTGGCTTAGTTTGTAATTCCAAGGTGCCGGGTTAGATCCCAGGTGCGGACAGTTTGACAGCAGACCGTTTTGCTTTGGTTTCGATAGTGGTATCCAGAGCCAACATTTCAGTAAGTAATGGCAAACTACAGAACGTAAAAATTGCTTAGTTAAAATCATAAACAGCCAAGAAATGCAGGGGTTGGTTCTGCAACGTCTTGTAAAGGCACACAACTAACTTTTTAAAAATTTTATTGCAAAGTCAGGTACATTATGAAAGATGCAGACAAGGTAAAATGGAGAATCAGAAGCAACAACGAAATTCATCATCCGTATAAATAGCCATTGATCATTGGCAACATGAGAGCTAAAAGAGAGAAATTGCTGGGGTATATTGAAAGAATGTCAGACGACAGAGAGGTAAAAATATTCAAACTGGAGTTGAATGGTTGCAGATCACGAGGCAGACCAAGAAGACAGTAGAGCGATAATATCTAGCCAGACCTACGAACACTTGGTGTCACCAACTGGAAAGAGAAGGCCAATCAAAGAGGCAAATGGAGACGGGTGTTATCTACAGCAGTGAACCTTAAGTTCTCGTAATGCTGAAGAAGAAGGTCAGATACATGTAGGCTCATGGTAGAAAGTACTTTTAGGGTGTAATATTTTTGGCCCTCCCATATTCTATGCCAGTGGCTCCTAGTTCGCTAAGACTTGCGAACCTATCTTATTTTCTAAGGTCTGTCACGAACCCCTTACGCTTTTAACAGTCGAACTGAAGAACTTATTATCTGTTTCTTCTTCCTTTTTTTTTCTTCTGGGGGGTGGGGGTGGGGGGGTGGGGGGGGGGGGTGGGGGGGAGGTGGTAGCTGCGCGGTCTCGAGACATGGTATCCGCCTCAAGTGCTAGAGGTTCCGGGTTCAATCCCTGGTAAGGGCTGGAATTTTTTCCACGTGGACTTGGACTTCTAGTAATTCCCCCGGGTCTCTGGGTAGTGAGATCGGACACCGCTGTACATTGTTGTGCACGTAAAAAATCCCGTGGCGGTTGCAAATCGATAAGAGTTGCCTAACGGCGCTGCCCGGGCAAAATTTGGAGTTAAAAATCTACCCAAAGTATTGCAGGATCTTTGCCGGTGCTACAGAGCCTGTGCACTGTGCTGAGCTTCTTCGCACTCAGACTTGAGTTTAAACAAAAACGGAGCACTTATGGATTACTACCTGTGTGCCATGATGTTGATCCGTTGTTCAAAACCTCAAACCAGTAATGCCTCGCGGCGTTAGGGCAGGAAGAGATATCTGAAACGGCATGTCTGTTCGCTTCGTATAAAGTAATTTTCATTGTCTCTGATATTTCTGCGGTCCATATCCTGCGTGGCCGACCTCATGGTCTGTTACCGCTGTATCTGTATAACATTGCTCTCTGTGGTGCCTTGTCTGATGAGGTTTGAGGTTTGAGGTTCGTTACATGGCTAAACTATTTTATTTGTTTTCTACCTATAAAGTTCAGTATTGGTTCTGTGCCGACTCTCCTCCTGATATCATCGTTCCTAAGTCGACTTTAGTGTATTCTGTAAAATTTTATTATAGCAATCATTGATTCATGATTCTTGCGATCGTGTGAAATAGCGAAACATGATAGACCACGCTTACTGGCACGTAATATAATGATGATCATCATTAGTGTAGCAAACAAGATTGATGACTAAAGTTTAGATTTGTTTTGTTTGTTTGTTTGTTTGGTGTAAACAGTATCACGGACCCCTAAACTTAAACCACCGGACCCGCCAGGGTCCGCGGACCAAATGGCAAAGACCATTCAAAATTATTACATAATTAGGTAGCATGGTGATGGTGTGTTGTTGTTTGACCTACGTTTCCTTCATATGCATGTCCCAGACAAATCTGAGATATATCCAGCATCCACCTTCTGAAGCTGGATCTACTACAGAACTCTGATGATTATTAAACACACCCTGCCACTGTTGGAGATGCGTCAGGACGGGGGTTCATGCTGGTCGAGACCTGTCTGCACCTCTACGTGGTCATCCTAAAAACCAGGACCTTGCCGGGGACCCGTCAACACGGATATGTTCGTCGTTTCCGTCGAAATGCGAGTACATTTACCCGACAGCCGAGAGACCATCAGTGTGTACACAGTCAACCAGTTCTGGAGAGCACATGTGTTTCCAAAACTGAGGTTACGGAACAAAGATCGCAGTCCAGACACAGACGACCAGTAAGGACTTTCTGCCGGACTTTACACTCAGTGAATGCAGAAGAACACAGACTGATTCTGGACAGATGCGATGTTATCATTGTAAAAAATACGGCAAAGGGCATGGCTGCACATGCTTGTCCATTCTGACGGAAGCTGCAAGAAAGGAACATTTAACCAAAGGGACACACAAAGTGTGATTCATAAATATAGAACAGGCGTCATAAGTCGTTTTACCCTTGTGGAAATTCTGAGGATTAGATCGAAGCACCACTGGATTTCTCCGGAGTGCTATGATGATAATCTTCAGCAAACACAAATCACATACCTAAATGTTGGGAGACTAGCGAACTAGACGCTGCCATCGCAACTCCTTAAATTAAGTCAGAAAAATCAACTTTTTTTTTCTGTCCATGTTTACAAATGTATCTAACTAAACCCAGGTACAGACTCAATGATCCTAGATTCCTTAGCACGTGGGATTTAAAACAATTATTGTGAGATTTTCAACAGTTGTACGAGAATCGCATCAAGAGGAGATTTGAAGTCTGACCACGAAATATTCACAAAGAGAGTACTGAGTGCACCTAGCCATGCTTCAGTGTGGAGACACAAATCTGGAATGTTTTAGCTGTAGGATAACTTCTTGACTACAATCTCTGGGACAGATGTATCTGTGTAAAGCGGTTACCATACAATTTTTCTGAAAGATGAAAATACAACTAGATTGTCTTTGAACTGGTACCCAGAGGGACATAGAAATAAATGAAGGCAAAAAAAAAACTTAGGGAGCTAGAGAGTAAAGTTAAACAAAAGTGGGGGAGGGGTGGGGTTGGGGAACATGGTATAAACTGCATGCAAAAGCAAAGGAAAGAATGACTGCGTGAGTTGGTTGAGGGTCAATGCTTCAGTCGGGGATTAACAGAAGAAGGAGAAAAAGAAGAAGAAGGTAAGAAGGAGAAGAAGAAGAAGAAAAGAAGGAGGAGGAGGAGAAGAGAAAGAAGAAAAATAAGAAGAAGAAGAAGAGGAAGAAGAAGAGGAAGAAGAAGAGGAGGAAAAGAAGAAGAAGAAGAAGAAGAAGAAGAAGAAGAAAAAGAAGAGAAGAAGATAAGAAGAAGAAGAAGAAGAAGAAGAGAAGAAGACGAGAAGAAGAACAAGAAGAAGAAGAAGAAGAAGAGAAGAAGAAGAAGAAGAAGAAGAAGAGAAGAAAAAGAAGAGAAGAAGAAGAGGAAAGAAGAAGAAGAAGAAGAAGAAGAAGAAAGAAGAAGAAGAAGAAGAAGAAGAAGAAGAAGAAGAAGAAGAAGAAGAAGAAGAAGAAGAAGAAGAAGAGAGAAGAGAAAAAGAAAAGAAGAAGAAGAAAGAAGAAGAGGAAGAAGAAGAAGGAAAAAGAAGAAGAAGAAGAAGAAGAAGAAGAAAAAGAAGAGAAGAAGATAAGAAGAAGAAGAAGAAGAAGAAGAGAAGAAGACGAGAAGAAGAAGAAGAAGAAGAAGAAGAAGAAGAGAAGAAGAAAAGAAGAAGCATAAGAAGACGAAGAAAAAGAGGAAGAAGAAGAGGAAGAAGAAGAAGAAGAAGAAGAAGAAGAAAAGAAGAAGAAGAAGAAGAAGAAGAAGAAGAAGAAGAAGAAGAAGAAGAAGAAGAGAAGAAGAACAAGAAAAAGAAAAAGAAGAAGAAGAAGAAGAAGAAGAGAAGAAGAAAAAGAAAAAGAGAAAAAGAAGAAGAATAAGAAGACGAAGAAGAAAAGAAGAAGAAAAAGAAAAGCAGAAGAAGAAGAAGAAGAAGAAGAAAAAATAAGAAGAAGAAACAGAAGCAGAAGAATAAGAATAAGAATAAGAATAAAAAGAAGAAGAAGAAGAAAAAGAAGGAAAAGTGGATAAAGGATTCTAAACACATCTCTCGCTATGGAATGTCTGGTCTAGCATCAAAGTAAAATTTTTTTTTCACCTGTGGCTGTTACACCTGGAAAATGAGCCGAGGCGGATAAATGACATTGCTAGCGGCTTCAGTTAGTGGTTGCTTTTAGTTAGAGACATGATCTCTTTATGTAGTCTAATTATCTACACATTCTATCGTCTCTCACAACAAGGAATAATTGATGCCGTATGCTAAATTGTTAGGTAGCATTGCTAGCATACATGTTGCATGGGTAATGTTAAAATAAAAATAAAAACGGAAACCATTCGTTTGTTAATGTCTGTTCAATCCCTGATAAGGAATTTGTTGTTGTTGTAAAATTTCAACTGCGTACAGCTAAAGTACAAGCAAAATAAAAATTCCGAATTCTTGAAAAGCAGTATTGCATCAACACTTCTCTGCGCAAAGGAACTAATTACCAAATTAATTTTTGACTTGCTACAGATTAATCCGGGAAACGTAACAGACCGCGTACTTCTACGCCAAAGTCTCCAGTGCAAGAGCTTTGCTTGGTACTTGAAGAATTTGTTTCCAGAACAGACTTTCCCTCATAGCATGAATTACGCAGGAGAGGTAAGTTTAGGGAAGTACTTTGGAGAGGTATGTCCGATGCAGTACTTTGGAGAGATACGTTTAGTGAAGTACATTGGAGAGGCAAGTTCGGTAAAGTGAGTTGGTGAGGTAAATTGGTGGGGTAAGTTCAATGAAGTTTGCCGGATAGGTAAGCTCAGTTAAGTACAGTGGAGAGGTAAGTTCAGCGAAGTACGTCAGTAAGGTGAGATCAGTGAAGTATGATTGAGAGGTAAGCTCAGTGAAGTATTTTGGAGAGATAAGTTCAGAGAAGTACTTTGAAAGGTAAATTCAATGAAATATGCTGGGGAGGTATGTTCATTTACGCACGCCATATAGGTAAGTTCAGTGAAGTATGCCTGAGAGGCTAGGTGAAGTATGCCAGAGAGGTAGATTCAGTGAAGTGTGCCAGAGAGGTAAGTTCAGTGAAGTTTACTAGAGAGGTGAGTTCAGGTAGTTAATCAGAGAGATGAGTCCATATAGTATATCAGTGAGGCAAGTTTAAGGAAGTACGGTGGAGAGGTAAATTCAATGAAGTACACCAGGGTGATAAAGTCAGTGAAGTACGCTGGAGAGTTAAATTCATTGAAGTAACTCACAGAGGTAAGTTAAATGAAGTACGCCGGAGAGGTATGTTAAGTGAAGTATGTCATTCAGGTACTGTAGTGCGAGTAAATACGTCAGAGATGTAAGTTCAATTAAATATATCAGGAGAGGTGAGTTCAGCGAAGTATGACAGAGAGGCAAATGCAATAAAATAGGCAGATGAGTAAATTCAATCATGCGGCTGACTAACAGTTAAAACGCTATGGTTCGCATGCGGGTTCGAATCGCCAGTAAGGTGACGGATGTTCGCTGTGTCTAAGGCAAAATAAAACATCACAGCCTGCACTGTTCTTTACGACGGCTTTAGCCACGCGACCCCAGACCCTAAGACTCAAGACTGCTTGTCCTACGTAGCCCTTAAAGAGCAACATAAGGCAGTAATGACAATTTTGTTTCCCTATTTTATTTTAATAAAGTACGGTAATTTCTGTCACTAATGGAGATTACTTATAATTGTACTTACTTTACTTTACTTTTTCCTTCCACGTATGCCGCTAAGCGTTGTGGGGAGATGCAAGTTCCTGTCGTAAGCAAGGCGGGCAGCATCTGATGTTCTGAGGCCATGCTTTTGGCAGGTTTCGGAGACCCCGTCAATCCACCGTTTCCTTGGTCTTCCTCTTGCCTTATATCCTGAGCTTCTTTGGTTGAAAATTTGTGATGTTATTTGATCATTTTTCATCCTGGTTAGATGTCCAAACCATTTCATTCTTTGATGTTCTATGTAGTCTAAACATGGTGTAGTTTTGACAGTGTTTTTTTCTAATGTCTATATTCTTTATCCTGTCTAGTCTGGTCTTATTCGCTGCTTTTCTTAGACATTTCATTTCACAGGCTTCTATTTTTCTTTCGTGGGTCTTGTTGATTGTCCATGTCTGGCACTGGTAGCAGAGTGTTGGAATGAAGATGGTGTTTATCAATTGTCTTTTGGTCTTCATGGTTATATCTGGATGTTTAAGCAGAGGTGATAGTTGGTATGTGACAGCATTTGCTTTCTGTATTCTTGTTTCTATCTCTCTGTCCATTCTTCCATCCTCTGTAAATATACTGCCCAAGTATATAAGTATATATAAGTATATGTATATTATATACTTATAATTGTAACATACTGAAAGCATGCTGAGAAAGGTGAAGACAGAGATGCTTCAAGCAGAGTGGCAAATTCACTCGGAAGGTCACGGGTAGTGTGCATACTTTGGATCTTTTCTCCAGGCAATGACGGCGTGGTTGGTAATGAACAGGCAGACAGATTGTTTGGATCTGCACCACTGGGTGGTGAACTAATACATGAAAAGGCAGATGTGGTCAAGGCCCTTTGAGAACAAGCAACGGAATCAGTAGAGAAAGAAGATTTTTATGGCCTGGAGAAAATGAGGCACCTGGGTGTAACCAGAGGGTCTGGCCGGCTCACTACACTCAGAGGAAAGGCAAGACATACATATAGCCAGATTGTGACCGGTACCATCAGTATTAGAACTCTGCGCTGGCTGCTGAAGATGGAGACTGAGCACGCATGAGAATGCACCGAGTGCTGTGACTTCAATTCGGGACTCAACTCAACTGAACTCAACTCTGGAGACCACTTTTTACTCTCCACCTGTCAAGAAAAGATATAAAACGAAAAGTATGTCAGCAAGCTTCACAATGTAACGAACACAAACAAAACGTGAACGTTTCAGCTACGGAGGATTCATCAGCACATACATAAATAAAACAATACCATACAAATAGACAAAATCACCTAGCTAAGTATCTCGAAGCGGCCAGGTCGATTTCTTGTTTTTAGACTGACTAGACACTGACTGACTGACTGACTGACTGACTGACTTTCTACCCCACCAGGACATCATTCAAGCGATAAACACCCGATGACACAAAGTGCCAACATGTGGGTGAGGATCATCATAAAGAGGTCCCAGAAACCGCATCCAGCCTTTAGGCCATATTTATGGCCAGGCT